TTTGTGACTCGGATTGCATCTAAGGTACTAGTTTTCTATTTTGCACGGTAAATTAAATATTGCTTGTACATGAAACGTCGTTCGTATTTTATTAATTACAAGCACAAGGAATTCGCTTTTATAAGGGTACTCACCACAACCCCCATCTTTGCATGGGCTTGAACTCTCCACCAACGAAATCATTTTTCTAGCGGAACTGCTATCTTTCGGTGACTATGGCATTTTCCCTACAGAACAAGGTAGTTTAAGCGGAAGTTTCAATTATCTGCAATTTCCGTTCATTTTCTTTCCAGAAGCTGAAATGAAATTTGGTATAATGATTAATCAGAATATCTGGGTCGAGTTTGTTTTGTATATATACTCTTTAAAAAAAGAAATACATTGTAGGAACCATCCCCTTAAACTGTTTGATAGTTTTTCAAACTTTTTAAAGATAATTATCATGCATTTGTGTATAATGCGTTAATTTTACTTAAATTGCTAACTTTACAGCTATTCTACCTATCTCATAGACAAAAAGACCTAATTTTGCAAATTCTCCCCCTCTCAATTTTCATATGTTGGTTTTTTGTGCAACTCCTTAAGGCTCAAAAGATTCTCGATATTTTGAATCTGATTTTATTTTTCTATGCCTTTTATTCGTTTTAAGATGGGACCTATTATGATATAGGCTTCATGTCCGTCCGTCTTTCCGTCTGTTAGCTTTTTCGTTTCTTGCCCGTAACTTTAATGATAATAGGCCTAGAGTATTCAATAATCAAACTTTGACATCTGATATATCTTAGGTAGAGGGTGTGTTGCGCATTAACTGTAGGTCGCTCTGACCTTTAATTAAAAAGCTTTAGCCAAACATAGAAAAAAATCTTTTCCGCGTATACGAGGATTGATGAAAAAGTAATGTCATTACTTCGATGACATCGCTACTAGTGGACGTACCGTATATACTCGCCTATAAGTCGGTCCGCCTATAAGTCGGTTGTATTAGTTGACGTTATTTTAGTAGGATTTGCTATTGACCCGCTTTTAAGTCGGTACATCTTTCTGCCAAGATCGGATGCCAATTTCAAGTAAATAAATTGATGTTTTAACCTGTTTTCAATTAATATTTTTCGAAAAAACGCTAAATATTTAATCTTTAATTATTTTTAAAAAGGCAATGCTCATTAAAAATACAAATAAATTTAAAATATGTAAAATCTTTGTAATTTATAATTTATATGTATAATCGAAGAATACATAAATCAACATACATTTCCAGACATTTTCTCAGTTAATCGTCGGAAATGCAAATAACATACTAAATTTCAGTCTTCAGAAAGATATCTCTTTATGACTCGCCTATAAGTCGGACATAGAGTTTTAGACCAATATTTAACTCCCAAAATACCGACTTATAGGCGAGTATATACATGTTTGATTGTTCATCGTAACTGTTTCTATGGGTGATTCCCCAATTGTATCCCAAAAATACATCACAGATCGTTTCAGCGGTTATTCTGCATTTCGACATTACCTTTCTTCAGTACAGCAGATTAAAAGGATAATATGTTTATTATCAAAAAGCAATGATGTCATTTTTATAATTTAAGACAAGAAAATGTTGAAAAATTTTGTCTTTTAAAATATTGGGCGATTAGATTATATTGAGATGCTTTTTGATATGTTTTTCGTTTCTAATTTTAGCAATTTACACTTTAAAACGTGACGTTTAGTTGTTACGTTGCGATGCCCTTTTATGTTCAATATTTTTAACGTCTACAAAAGTAATTTAATTAAACATTTTTTCATTTAAAATTTCAATTTTAATTATATTTCTTTTTAGGCACCTTTTGGTTTTTTATTGTTTTTAATAATATGACGCCAAATATAAAAGATATTAACACAGTTACATTAATTTTGGATCAACCCTCATAACAAGAAAACTAGTAGACTTAGAATCATCAATTTTTTTACATCAAAGGGAGAAGTTGTGTCCTACCTATTTCAAGGTCATTATTGCCTTTAGATTTAAGTGATATCTTTAAAAAATATGTCATTAACAATTTGTTATAATATATCCAAATATGTAAAAGTATTGCAGTATCCTTATTTTAAAACGCATTAATGTAAAATCAAGAAAAAACATATTCTTTTCAGTACTAGTATATACTTTACTTTAGAAATCTTGTAAAATTTAATTTTATAATTAATTCCTACACAACAGGAGATTTTTAAACATAAAATATTTTAAGGGGACAAAGGATATATGGTCACATGACTCAGTTTAATCACGTCATAATCTCTAATAAAATATGTACAAAACAAGATTGAAGCCACAGTACTTTTATTATTTTTTGACTGTTTGTTTGAGTTCACCATCTTGTATAAAAATATCTCAAAAGATTCAAACTTTCTACGGAATAGATTGGTCCACTTTTCTGTTTCCCTTCACTGCGCGTCCAACGAGTCGGTAACGTCATAGTGCATCTCTTAGTACAGTAAGATTATACACGTTAAAACACGGATAGTATAAAATCATAAAAACGGGTCATGATCAATACATGATGGGATATTTTGTGAATTAGGGAACACAAAAGATATTATTATTTTTTAACAGAAATAATTTGTAGGTATGTCTTATTTCTCTTATTTCGCAAATATGTGAGGTCAAAGTTGGGTTTTCCCGTGCTCGAGAAATGTAAACATGACACTTTTTTCTCAAGCTTATGTCTTATGCCCTGTGAAATATTGAACTCAGCTTCACCCATCGATATTACTACAGCTAATCAATAACGTAACAATCTTGCATTTCAACGTAAATTTTCAAATATTGGATGACAGGATTTCTTGCACATTTATTTTTTTTTTGTTGTTGAAGTTGTCTTAAAAATTACGTAATTTTCCGTCTCCAGACTCGATGTGAGAAAAGAATATTGCCTTTTCGAATTTTAACCCTATTCATACTCTGAAATACATTAAGAGACACATGTTCGCTGATATATTTTTTTTATCTATGCTGAAAAAATCAATTATGGACTTATTAATGGGCCCAAAATCATTGAGAATTAAAACTTCACTTTGACGCTGCGGGGTATAATATTTGTCATTTAATATCTCAAAAAACTCTAGAAACCTATTGATATATCTAGATCTGCTTTAGGGGTACTTACCACTAACAAAAATATGCGCAGGTTGATATATATTTTTAAAATGATTCTTATTTGTAATGACATAAATAATAAATCCCTGAAATATAAAGAAATCCTAAGTTTTCCTTGGTGCTTAGATTTGAGATTTTATTTTGCCTTCTATATAATACCACACAAAATTTTGCACATTTTTTTAACTTTATGACAAGATCTTATAAAATTCTCCCACTCTACTTGGTTAACATTATTCAGGTTGTCAATTTAAATGTAAATCTATGAGAAATAATGCTGATTTCTGAAAAAAAGTTTGTTTGTGTTATTTATCCTTAAGGTATGTGGGACATACTAAATTAGATATACACAAAATATGAAAAAAATGAATGACAGGTATTTTTCCATACACTGCAGACATTGTTATCTGAAAGATCTCTCGGGAAATATAGTAACATCTTCATGCATTCAGCATATAAATAGCCAAGATCATGGGACTGTTCTTAGAATAGCTGCAGAATTGTAGCTCTCCGAAAAAAAATTGCTAGACCGGAGAGCTACAGTGCTATCCATTGCGCACGAACAGTTAAGTTTAGTTCTGGATTAATTCTTTCTAATTCTTACCTCAACAATTTGACCAAATCAAACGGACATGTGAAACTGACAAAATGACAATCTCTTGTCTGGTGATGGTAACATCGAATATAAAGAGTGTTTGTTTGTTTGTTTGTTTCTTGCAATTGGGACTGTTGTGTATGTAATCCGGAACTGTACATGTCCGTTTGTATTGTATAGTTATTGATGTTGTGTCATCGTTATGTGTAATTCTTTGTGTAGTTTGAATAAATGGAGTAGTCTAAACTGTGCTCTTGTGTTTCCCACGTCTAACTGATATTGTGGCCTCCACAATACATCTACAACACTGGCGATGAGGATTTCTCGGTAGTTCAAGATTACGACAACGAATCCTAAACGTATAACGATGGCGACCTTCGCAATCGGCAAGATTGGAAACTTTGATGATGGCATAGAAACGTGGGAGGCCTATGTTGAACGCCCGCAACAGTATTTTCTGGCAAATGGGGTAACAAATGACATTAAGGTACCAGCCTTACTCAGTTTAATAGGTCCAAAGACATATGCGTTACTAAAGTCATTAGTAGCTCCAGATAAACCGTCTGACAAAACATTTGAAGTGCTAATTGATCATCTCAATAAACACTTGAATCCTAAACCCCTCGTAATTGCAGAACGTTTCCGGTTCCACAAACGGGACCAAAAACAAGGTGAAACAATTCTACAGTACATAGCTGAGCTGCGAAATCTTGCAATACACTGCAATTATGGTAACAATCTAGGTGATACTCTACGTGATAGATTTGTGTGCGGCCTACGTAAAGAACACATCCAGAAAAACCTTTTGTCAAAGGAAGATCTGAACCTCGACAAAGCTGTGAAGACCGCAGTTGCGATGGAGACAGCGACCAATGACGCATTTGAATTGCAGGGACAACGTGGGCAACAACAGGTCAACAAAATACACATGAAAACATTCACACCGAAGAAACCGTTCAAACAAAAGACGGCACCTACGCACCCTTGTTTTCGATGTGAAGGTGACCATAAACCAGATAAGTGTAAACATATCAACACCGTGTGTCGTTTTTTTTCAATCAAGGGACACATTGAGAAGGCGTGTTTGAAGAAACGCAGGGGTAAAAGACAGGACACCAAGAAAACAACAAGAGGGCGAGGAGTACACATGTACGAGAATCAGAGTCAGATGATGACCAAATCCTACATATCAATGTGAATAGCATACAGGGGAAACACTCCAAACCCATTATTGTAAAACCGCCTATAGCTGGCAGAATTATCCACATGGAGCTAGACACAGGAACAGCTCTATCCATTATCTCAGAACAAGATTACTTATCAACGCTCCAAGATATAAAGCTACATCCTTGCGACAAAACACTGAAATCATATTCGGGACACACGATGCGACCCATTGGTAAACTGAGAACAACAGTTACAATAAATGGACAAGAGGCGGAATTAGATCTATTCGTCGTACCTAAGAAAGTACCAGCACTTTTTGGGAGAGATTGGCTAGATAAAGTACATCTTAACTGAATTGCTATCAAGTCACTACACCTAGAAGGAATAACTACTGATCACGTCACAAACTTTGATCAGCTACTAAAACAACGCAAGATTGTGTTCGCAGAGGGCATAGGGAAACTTAAAGACATTAAGGCCCACCTTACCCTTACGGACACCGCACATCCTAAGTTCCTAAAGGCGCGAAGTGTACCGTATGCAATGTGTCCAAAGATTGAGAAGGAGTTAGATCGACTCCAAAACGAGGGAATAATAAGACCTGTGGCGCACAGTGATTTGGCAACACCCATTGTTCCAGCCCTGAAAAAGAATGGTGACATTCGCATATGTGGGGATTACAGAGTCACTGTCAATCCGGTATTGAAGGTTGATCAATACCAGTTGCCTAAAATCGAGGACATCTTCGCAAACCTCTCTGGAGGAAGGAAGTTTTCCAAAATCGACCTTACACAAGCATTCCACCAGATGGAGCTTGATGAAGCATCGAAACAACTTCTAGTGATCAACACTCACAAAGGGTTGTATATGTACAACCGACTGGTATTTGGAATTGCTTCAGCCCCGGCTATGTGGCAGCGAGCCATAGAACAAGTTCTACAGGGCATTCCACACACTCAGTGCATCTTGAATGACATCATCATCACTGGAACTTCTGATGAGGACCACAAGCGTACCTCAGTAAAGTGTTGTCACGCCTCGATGAATATGGCTTACGTGTCAATTTGGACAAATGTGAGTTCTTCAAGAAGAGAGTGAGTTATTGTGGACATGAAATTGACGAGAATGGCTTACATAAATCACCAGACAAAGTAACTGCAATTACTGAGGCACCCAGGCCTGAAAACGTCTCGCAACTTAGAGCATTTCTTGGATTGGTAAATTATTACCACTGTTTCATTCCAAACTACTCTACAGTTGTGGCTCCTTTGAATGGACTTCTCCAGGACAAGGTGAAATGGGAATGGACTGATCTTATGATCCACATGATGTCGCATTTCAACGAGTGAAGGACATTCTGGCTTCTGAACAAGTGTTGTGCCACTACAACCCAGACCTTCCATTGAAATTAGCCTGCGACGCGTTCCCATATGGCATTGGCTGTGTGCTATCTCACACATTCTCAGATGGAAGTGAAAGACCTATCGCCTATGCATCCAGGGCTTTGAAGAAGGCGGAGCGTGGATATTCACAAATAGACAAAGAAGCCCTGTCTATTTACTGGGGAATACAAAAATTCAACACTTACCTATTTGGAAAACATTTCACGCTAATAACCGACCACAAGCCGCTACTTAGTATCTTCCACCCATCTAAAGCCCTACCGGCAATGACCGCAGCGCGGCTGCAACGATATGCTGTTTTTCTCTCCGGACATTCATACGACATCATTTACAAGAGTACGCACAAACACTGCAATGCAGATGCGCTGTCCAGATTGCCACTGGACTCCACAGAAACGGAGGGTATATACGAAGTAGATATGTTCTACAGTACACAGTAAGAAATGTTGCCTGTAACTTCCGAACAAGTGCGCAATTCAACGCGACGAGACCAAATCTAAGAACAAGTCCTTGACTTTGTGTCTACTGGGAGATTCCCCAATACTTTTGTTAAAAGCTTGAAACCATACATACAGAGAAAGGACGAACTTACACTGCACCAAGGATGTATCATGTGGGGAAATCGGGTAGTGATTCCTGAAAGCCTACACTCCAGATTATTAGAAGAAATACATGCTGGACACCTTGGCATCGTCCGAATGAAGACATATGCGAGATCATATGTTTGGTGGCCAAACATTGACAGCGCCTTGGAGCAAACATGCCGCTCATGTGCAGGATGCCTTTCCGTACAGAATCAGCCTACCGCTGCACCAGTACATCCATGGGACTGGCCTGAAACTCCCTGGTATCGCGTTCACGTGGACTATGCTGGCCCCTTTAAGAATGCTATGTTTCTTATTGTGGTCGATGCTCATAGCAAATGGCTTGAAGTTTTCCATATGACATCAACTACAGCATTAGCAACTATAAAAACGCTGCGCACCTTATTTGCCCGTCAAAGCATACCGAATGAAGTAGTTTCCGACAATGGCCCGCAATTTATCTCGGCAGAATTTAAACAATTCATGGTCCAGAATGGAATAAGACACATAACATCTGCGCCGTACCATCCCCGCACAAATGGACAGGCTGAAAGATTTGTGCAATCTTTCAAACGCGCGATCAAGAGTGCTGACAACGACAAATCTGCTACAATAAACCAAAAGTTATGTGCTTTCCTCTTCAAGTACCGCACAACTCCTCACGCAACTACAAATGAAACGCCGTCAGTAAAAATGTATGGACGAAACATCCGCTCCCGCCTAGACCTTGTGAAACCAAACACTGCCAATGTTGTTCATAAGAAGCAACATGAAGTGCCAAAACATGTCGGAACTAACATCTGTGAATTCGAAAATGGTCAACCTGTACTAGTCCGTGACTACAGGGAAGGTAGAAGATGGACTAAAGGAAACGTCACTTCGAGGACTGGCCCACTGTCTTATCATGTCGATGTAAATGGTTCAACATGGCACAGGCACGTTGACCAAATGAAAGATACCATATTACCGGGTGATGTTCAAAGCGAACCGCCTCTACCTGTGTATGTGCCCGACGTACCTTTACCGAGGGACATTATCGCGCCAGGGACACCGGTCATTCCTGAGAAACCGACCAAGTCACCACTGACTGACAAACCAGTACCGTTGGTTACTAATGACCCGATACCGTTGCCGAAACCAGACAACACACCGCGTCGTTATCCGCAACGAATCCGCAAGCCAACCCAGAAACTGGACTTGTAAATGTGTTCAATCATAGCATTAACTGTTAAAGACTTAGATTTAATGTGACTGTTTCAGTTATCTCTAGACATTTGAATGTATAATTTTTTGTGATCTTGCCATGTGTTAAAATTGCTTAAGTATTATGTAATTGTTCTTTATTCTAGTCAAATGTTTATCATATATTGTAACATTAATGAACTTTACTCGGTAAGATAACTTTTTATTTTTATATCTTTTATTAATATTTTTCATCTTTAAGGGGGGAGGAGTGTTGTGTATGTAATCCGGAACTGCACATGTCCGTTTGTATTGTATAGTTATTGATGTTGTGTACTACGTCATCGTTATGTGTAATTCTTTGTGTAGTTTGAATAAATGGAGTAGCCTGACATGTGCTCTTGTGTTTCCCACGTCTAACTGATATTGTGGCCTCCACAATACATCTACAACAGGGACCACAATATCTTGTACACATTCTAAAGAGAGTAGAGAGCGTTTTGATTCAAATGTTTCCTAAATATGAGGGTAGTGTTTGAGTTTTAGTAATGAATGGTACTGAAAGAAATTTAACACCTACAGTCCCTGAAACGTTCTACTTTCCCACCTGAACGGTGAACGAACGCTGAACGAACGCTGAACGAACGGTGAACGAACGGTGAGTGAACGATGTGCAAACACTGAACGCAACTTCGTGAACGATGTGTGAACGGTGAGTGAACGCAGAACGCGAACGGAGCGCGAACGCGAGCGCAAAGTGAACGGTGAACGCAAGATGAACGATTTATTCGGAATGTCTTTGGTTTTTTCCTTGCATTGAAATTATTCTTTTATGTTTTAATTCAAATGTCATAAATAAATATAAATAAACAATAGATAAACAAAAGAGAAATAAATAGATAAATAAATAAATAATAAAAATAAAATTCTGCACATACGTATGTTTAAATCGATATTTTTATAACACGATTTTAATTCGCCGTCAAACGTGTATTTGTTACCGCGTGTAGTTAAAAATAAATTAATCTTATATAGTAAATAATTATGCTGATTCTTTTAACTAATAAAATAATGTTGACTTCAGAAGATGAAACTACTACTGAGATACACATTAGATAAATAAATAAATAAATAAATAAATAAATAAATAAATTAATTAATTAATTAATTCATCAATAAATAAAAACATTTTTTTTGCACATACCTATGTTTAAATCGATATTTTAATAACATGATTTTAATCGCCGTCAAACGTGTATTTGTTACCCCTTGTAGTTAAAATATAAATTCATCTACTAATATACATGTAGTAAATAATTATGCTTATTCTTTTCACTAATAAAATAATGTGGACTTCTGAAGATAAAACTACTACATATAGAATGAATTAATTACATTGTACGGGTTTGAAACAACCGTACATGTATTTCCGTACCAAAGCGATTCTGAGTAAAATAACGGATTTTTTTTTTAAATTCACAATTATCTGTTGACATTGACTGTTATACGTACTGCATAACAATTCTTGTTTTATTAAACTTCCACTGCAAAATATTCTATATTTATGTGCCTTTTTATTCTTTTATGACGATTATATTTTTTTTTTGCTAACTTCTTCATGTATCTGTAGACATTTCCCGGCCGTAATTATACTCGGTCAAGATGTTGGAAAAAGGCATTCAAATTATTTGTAATACATGCGTAGATAAAATTTTCAAAACTAAATAAGTAATGTGTTGTCATAATTTTTAGTGAACAGAGAAATGTACGAGAGAGAGTGAGAGTAAGAGAGAGAGAGAGAGAGATAACCCCCTCGATTCTCAGATATATATTGTATCAAATAAAAATTCTTATTATTTTTCCTAAATATTCTAAGCAATAAAGGTAATCTTTTTTTTTTTAGATTAACAAATCCATTTGACAGTGTTCATTGGCTTTTATTTTCCATCATCAAGTTCACACAGCTCACAGGAAGTCCGTGCTACATTTGTAGTAGCGTGCTTGTGCTGTCAATCTAAATAATTCGACACAGTGGAGATGTGGAAATCGCGTTTCACCGAACATGCCGAGGTTAAAGAGTCACTTAGTATTCCAAGAAATTTTAATATTTTTCCCAATCATTTCTAGCTCTGATTTTGGCATTCCTGCAGAAAAAAATAATTCGAATATATACTTGAAAGGATTAAGTTTTAAATTGAATGTGAAACATATTCCCTGCCAATTTAAAATACTTCTGTATATACTTCTTTAGTTTTAACTAAAATACTATTGTTTAATGACTGTTTGATGTTGGTTTTAAGACTGATTTTCTTGTGTTACAATAAAAGCTAAATATAAATTAAAATATATTGTAAATACTCAATAAGAATAATTATTTTATTTCGGGAGAAAAGGCACCGCGGGGGGGGGGGGGATGTCTTAAATATACTGAATGGCAAAAACATATTTTTAAACATATGTTTAGGTACTGTGAAGGAAGGAATTTTCCTTCTCTAATAGTAGTCTATTTTAAACAGTTGGTCTTTTCTAAAACTTAAAACCACACCATCAATTTAATTATCTCTAAAGATATTTAATTAACTGAATATTTGCAGTACTGTTCATAATTCTCAAACCTACATGTATTTTAAATACGTGTTACTGTAGAAATAATTTTTTTTATGTATTCTTGTTCTGTAAAAGACTTGGATTAATTATTATACATCCATTATTCATTTGTGTTCTTTAAAATTAAATCAAATTGATGCCGTGCGTGAAACATTTGCACATTGCCCTTTTCTGAAGTTAATATTTTAGTATGGTTCCACATATATGTAGGTACATAATGTATTAATTATTTTCCAGGGAAAATTCATGAAATGTTACAGCTGAGTTATAAAAATAGAAATATAGAATATCATAGATAATTTTTGCAATTAAATAATTATTCTTCAAACACAATATCTAAGTTATTTAATTAAAAAACATGTAAATCCTTACCATCTAAAAGATAAGTCCTTTCACTTCGGAGTTCCGAATGACAATGAAGACTGAACGATAAGTGAACGGTGAACGCAAGGTGAACGCAAAGTAAACGGAACGAAGAGCGAACGGTGAACGTTTTGTGAACGGTGAACGCGAGCGAACGGTGAACGCAATACTGTGAACGAAGAGCGAACGGTGAACGCACGCTGAACGAACGGTGAACGAACGGAAAAATGGGAAAGTAGAACGTTTCAGGGACTGTAACAACAAAAATAATATTTTCGAGTTTGAAAAAAAAAATTTTGGCGTAAAAAATTAGTTGCATGTATCTGGTCTGACAAAAATTTACAGTTGACAGTACAACAGATCCTTTTACTTGTCAGAGCAAATAAATATTTTCAGCGGTATTTTTTTCTTAAAGAAACGTTGTTTTGTCTCTTTATTGCTGAAACAAATTGAAAGAAGTTTGGTTGAACCTTAGCGTTTCTTTCCTTACATCTTTGTTTACGTCTCTATATTTAGACAATCTTCAAACCAGTTAGACGAGTTGTTGCTCCTTGGCTGACCTAGCACTTTTTGTAATGAAGCGTAGTGGAGTCAGCCGAGGATTGCCGAATGATAAATGTCGGAAAACTGGGACGTTTTTTTTCATACGGAAATCAAAATTTTTGTGTCATTTCTCAAGAAAATGACAAAAACATGCTATTCAAATTAAGTTTAATAAAATTCTATTTCATTTACTTTCAAATCATTTATGAAAATTAGATTAATTCAGAAAAATGAGATGGACTATTTTTTTTGCGGAAGTTTCTTCGAGTTTATATAGACTGGTACGAGTTTGTATTGAATATCACAGTGGAGTAAATTGGGCGACACAGAAACACCACCACGACCGCTATATGATTCATTGTAAAATTACTGCGCTTGAAACCGCGTGACAGCCTATGGAGTCTGAACATAGTTCAACTCCCAAAAATGATGCATTTGAATGTTGCAAAGCACAAAAAGGAAAATATGCGACTGGAAGCAATGTTCCAAAGTCTTTTATTTTACGAAGTTTTAATGGAACACCCAACATGCAAAAATTACCACGTGTAACATCAGCAGCACATAATCACTTCAGAGAAAAATGACGTCATCTACAGTATAGCTATCCCTGAAATGCACAGAACATCTAATAAAACCATTTTCAGTTGACTATAGAATGCTTGAATTGTTGGTCTTCAGGTAGCCAAATAATAAAAAAAATGTTATTGAATGCTTTTGGATAGCTCCTGACTATATCAAAACTTACTATTACATGCAGTTGTGTCGTCTTAAAGATCCCTCACAGCAAGATATAAGCGATTTATTGATCGCACTTGTCAATGTGTCGTCAAATCGTGAAAATTTAGGCATTTGTACGCAGTGAGGGGGTAAAACATGTAAATGTACATTTTTACTAGGATGTACATGTATGTACTGTCAGTATATGCTCTAGACAAGTGATATTGTAAGCATACGTGTATGCAGATTCACTGGAAAAGTAAAAGAAAAGTAATTAAACTATTACACTTATAAAACTATTAAAATAAAAGTTAAAGAAGGGTCCTAATAAATTCAGTTTCTTATAGGGGCACACCTTCAATGCATCATGCCAAGTGTTTTAAGATAAACTCAAGGTGCAATAAGATATATGTGAAGTGCTGCCAACCTGATAAAATCTTGAAAATGAATTAATAATTTCTATATGTAATGTAGTTTACCAGCATAGTATTCAATCTGCGGTCAAAAGATGTAATTTTTGAAAATAAATTATGGAAACTATACACTATATTAAACTTGTAGTACATTTTCACAAAGTAGAGGTATGGTGTTGGAAAGAATTACAAGTTATACTTTGATGTAAAACTTCATTATGATTTTGAAATAATTGAATTTTATTCTGTGAGACTGACTTCACGGGAAAAGTCTACATAAAAAATCTAAATGTCCTTTACATGTAAATTTGGACCACTCTACATTTTTCTGATAACAGTGAATTATTAACAAGAATCGCCATCCTGATAAATGCTTTAGTCGTTATCTTAAAAATATCCCTTTATTTCCATTTGTCACCTTAACTGTACGGCGTTATACATGTTATACTTTATGCATTGGAGTTGACAGAGACATGTAGACGACAATATTTCATGTTTACTTACTGCTGATACCCACTATTTGATTGATTGTATTTTAATTATATTTTGAAGTTGTTGCCAGAAAAGACAAATTTTAAGTCCAAAGAAACGCTTGACACCCTGGAAGAGTTTCTCCTTCTCTGCAATAAAAATGCTGTGGATGATTTTATTGGGTTTGTATATGTTCATTTTTTTTTAAATCCTTTATAAAGAGTTTCCTTCTTTGCAAGTCTCTATAATATTGATTTAGGAATACAATAGTAAACGTAACACTTGACATTGTACATGTTCTTTTTACGTCAAAAATTTCATTCAAAAAGAAGCAAAAAGCGATGCCTCACTTAATTCATTGTTATTTACAATAACAATAATATCAATAATATCAATTTATTTAAATTAAATACTTTACACATTATATTTAATTAATTTGAACATTTTCCTAAAAAAATAAAAGGGAATTATTTCGTATTAGAATTTATGGTGCATGCCAAAATTGTGGGTCAGAGTACGAGGGATCCCCACTCGTCCAATTGCCATGTGATCACAAGATATGCAAAGGAACATGTTTCTCGTCAATGCGTCACGGTTCAAAGGAAATGAAGTGCCCCATGTCTAAGTGTGGAAAAGTTATTCCTTCAAATTTCAACGAGAATGAACACGCGGGGATTAAAAGGTATTCTTTTAGAAGGATTATTTGTGTTGAGCAATAAAGATTTTTAGATATGATTAAAAATTCCATAAATAGTGTTTCCAATCTTTGTATTTACATCTTGATACATGATATAAATAAAATAACATAATATGAAAATATTTTCATTTACAAACGTTTACCTTTATATAACACTACGGAAAGCAAGCGTTTTTATAACTGTGTAAATACAGGTATGGGGTCAAGAGGTCATAGATGTGTGTTTGGATAAACGTTCGACTTAATTTCTCTGTGACGTCATACAGGATCGATACGCGTTAAATGGATTACGTACATTCGTTGGTTTTGAAAAATTAACACTATTCACACGTTAAAAGTAACAATCGGACAAATATAAAGTATGAATGAGACACAAATGTAAATATAAGTAATAAGGTATCTTTTTTGAGTTTTATTGAGATGTAAAACGGGTTGGCAAATGATCAAATCTTCCATAAAGCCCTTAGGTCTTTATGGGATTTGATCACGTGACCAACCCCTTTTACATTTCAATAAAACTCAAAAAATGATACCTTATTTCTTAAATATTTACATTTGCAAATGTTTTCCCTTATATAACACTATTTGAACAAGACGTTTTTACATTTCCGTAAAACAAGTTGGTCATGTGACCATAAATTGATTGTTTAGTCACTAGCAATCTACGAAGTATGATGTTTGATAGTGACGTCATGATTAAGCAATCGACGATATAAACATTCCGTTGAGTTTTCAAAAAATAACGTTATTGGTTTCAACATTAAGTTAGTACGTTACTATTTGTCATAAATAGTCATAAATGAAAATATAGGTAAAAAGGTATCAGTTTTTTTTTTTAGTTTTTTGGGATGTAATACGGGTTGTTGGCACATGATCAAATCTTCCATAAAGCCCTTCGGTCTTTATGAGATTTGATCACGTGACCAACCCGTTTACATCCCAATAAAACTCAAAAAATGATACCATATTTCTTAAAAGAAACTTTTTTTATTAATTCCTGAAATTATATAAACATATCCTTATACATATACGTCCTATATGTAAGTTATATGTCTTAAGTCCTATTTGTAAGTTAAGGCAACGTAGAATGGTTTGTTTGTAATGAACTAAATAAAACTCATAAGCGCTGAACTTAATGCACAAAAAAAGTTAAACTTGTTTTCTTAAACAAACTTAATTGATACATGTACCTACGACATGCCCTAGCCAGTGCACATTATGATGTCACTGTCCTGTACTACAGTTTACTTATACTACATTGCGTCGAAGGCAGCATTACAGAATTTGCCCCAAGGTGACAAGAAAGCCCTGGAGTGTTATGTCGGCCTCTGCCTTCAGCTTCGGGCGACATAACACTCCAGAGTTTTTCTGTCACCGAGAGACAAATATTCTGGTATTGTTGTCCGAGAATTAAGTCATTTAATAACATTTTTAAACATTGAACCCAAATCGATCATCGAATATATTTATTGAAGATTATGTACAAATGTCAAATTACGTTTAGTATAATCTACAGAATGATTTCAGTATGCCGACACTTGTGTTGATGACTTTTGTTGTATCTACGGAATTTTTCTCCGCAATAAAGTAATCTAATTCCTCTGCATTCAAATTAACAAATCACAGACGTTGACCAGACTTTTTAATCTTTGCGTAACTGTTTACGTTTGCTGAGCCAATCTCCTATGCAGAGTTGTCGTTCGTTCCTCGCAGAACCTCTGTAATGGGCTCACGTCAAGATTTTTGACAAAACATATAAAAAGTAAAATTTGCAGGATTGTTTCAAATTAAATGAATAATTCTTGATTAATGTAGTTAATATCTATCTGAAAAGGCAGACATAAACATATAAACTGAATTATAATGAATTAAAACAAACGCACTATGTCTCGTGTTTATCACTATGATATACGAGAGCCAACAACAGAGGTGAATGTATGAGCCGATAGTAGAGAGTGTTGCTGAACAATATTATTGCCTCTGTGAATTTCGAGCCCGACGTACTTAATATGCAGAATGATGACACACGAGGGAACATAACTGTATTTGGAAGGGCAGTATAACTGTTTCCGGAGAAGTATTACTGTATCCGGTGTAACGGCTTAGAGTGTTTCCTGTAGAATCTTGACCTGGGGTTATTTTTCTACGTAGAAATTTGAACCCCTTATGTTCTATGTTCTACATAGAAAAATGACCCACAATTATGGCCTTGGGTCATTTTGTCCCGTAGAACAATAAATCTTGTCAATTTTTGAATCAAAAACATTCGTTTTGGTAGGAATATTCTTGTCAGGCGAATCCATGCCGGTAAACTTATGATATGAGGTGTTAATTTCTGAAAGTTTTTAAGCTTAAGGAAGGTTCATACCTTTTCGGATCTGGTTTTAATTTTACACACCAATTAAATTCTGATTACTAGTATCACTTGTCGATTGAAATAAAATATCTTTAGTTGATTGAAAATAACTGAGCAAGTATAAATTGTTTTTATTATGACATTGCATATACAAAGCATTTAATTAGTATACATTTTTTGAAAATTAACACTTTGTCCACAGGATCTATTTGTCATTTGGTACATACAGAGACAGAATAGCCTTTATAGACCCAAAGTTATTTCTTTTAAACAAACTAATTTGAGATTTATTTTTATCAATTTTAAGGCTAAATAATCTTTTGAATTTAATCTTTCTTTAAGTTTGCAAAGGATAAGTGAAAAAAAAAATTCCAAGAATGGATGTGTATAAGTTTTCAAAAGGCTGGTTTGTTAAATTTTATCTTTTCAACCATTACAAAGCATGTGTTTTGATAACTTCAGATATAACTCTTAATAGTTTTAAGGAAAATGGCCTATAAACAGTTCAGATTTTGAGAATTATAAAAAAATAAATATATTTTAAATTTTTTTTCTGAAAGACGTGGACAGATCCAATACAAATTTGTTAATGTTTTTCAATAGAGATTTCAAATATTCTACTAACACATGAATCAATACAAGAACATGCTCTCTGTACAAGCAATTTCTAAAACAAGTTTAAAAAATTGACAAACAACTTCATGAAAAAACAATATCAACTGTCTCGTTTAAAGTCATCATTTCTATGATAGATACAATGACCTTGTCAGCAAATACAATTTATCACTGATTCAAATGCTGACTGACATTTTTCATACTAATTGTTAGTCCATTATTCATACACTGAGTTGACATCGGGTTTTCCCGTTATATCCCATTCATGGCAAGAGGGCACACGGCGGGTGTGATTGATCAACAGGGAATGCTCACTCCTCCATGGCACCTGATCCCACCTCTGATGTTCTGGAGGTCCGTGTTTCCTCTGCTCCTGTTGTGTATTGTTTTGTGCACTTTTGATCTAGAATACTGTTCTTTATCTCCATATTTTTCATTTATTTTCATAAGTTTAAACATAAATATGATAATAATAATAATAATAATAATAATAATAATAATAATAATAATAATAATAATAATAATAATAATAATGATGATGATAATAATGCTTTATTTAGAGAAGGTTATCCGATAAGTACAAGGTACTATTCTTCCCTGGGGCCTTCTTATTTCAAACAACATATTACATAAAATAATACAATCAAAGATAAAACATGTAGAGTTCGTTAATGCATGAATAATTAAATGTAATGTACAGCTAAAAGAGATATTGATTAAAAATAAAGAAGTCAATATTAATTGTTCATGAGACATTGTCTTAAACAATAGCAATAATCAAACGTCTTGTACAAAAGACATATTCAAACAGTTATTTACAGTTATTTACAGACGTTGGCTAATTATAATTTTTGCTACATTTCGTCTAAAAATACGTAAGGTTGATGATAATTTTACATGTAATGGTAGGTTATTCCATAAATTTTCACCTGAATATTGAATAGAATTCGTAAATAAAATTGTTCGATGTTTCGTAAACGAAGATTATAATTAAATTCTGAACGTAAGGAATAGGAATCATGGGTATGAAAAACAAAAAGGTCCTGGAGATATACGGGGCTCATACCATAAAAAGTTTTTTACAATAAAATACACTTATGTAGTGTGACTAATTCAAATACATTTAGCCATCCCAGTTTTTCAAACAATGGTTTTGATGGTTCGTCGGGTGCTGCATCAAGAATAATTCTAGTAGCCCGTTTCTGAAGTTTATGAATTCTTTCAATGCTAGTCTTAGATGCATTGCCCCAAATAGTAAGACAAAAGGCAAAATGTATGCATTATAATAAAGTTTTCTGGTATTTAATAGAAGAAATTTCTTAATTTTACGAATTGTAAATAACTTGTATGTTAAGGATTTACAAACTGAATCTAGAAAATAAGTATAATGAAGATTTTGATCTATATTGACACCTAAGAGTTTTCCAACATTAACATTTTCAAGTTTTTCTCCAGAAATTTCTGTGTTAAGTTCTGGAATATCTAACTTTGACCTCTTTTGTTGTGTACACATAAGCATAGATTTTGATTTGGTCTTGTTCAGAATCATTTGGTTCTGTAAACACCAGTTTTCAATTTTGCATAAATCATAATTCAAAAGTGTTTCAATATTATGCATCATCTGCAAACATATCAATACATGTATTACAGTGATTGACACATAAGGGAAGGTCATTTATATATATACAATGAACATACATGTAGCAGTGGACCTAAAATAGATCCCTGGGGCACCCCTGCTGTGATAAGTAAGATATCAGAGGAACATGCACCAATTTTAACACTTTGGGTTCTTTCATTTAATTGTAAGTGAATCAAAGTTATATTGCCTCAATTTCCCAATTAAGAGATAATGGCTGACTAAATCAAATGCTTTACTGAAATCTAGAAATGCTATGCCAGTGAGATTCCCGTGGTCCATTGCATGCAACCAGCTGTCAGTAAGTTTGGTTAGTACCATTTGGCAAGAATGGAATTCCCTAAAACCACTCTGTGAGTTTGTAATGAGGTCAAAAGCTTTGGTGAATTCACGTACTTGATTAGCAACATGTTTTTCAAAAATTTTTGATAAAGTCGGTAAAATTGATATTGGTTTGTAATTACTTGGATCATTTTTATCGCCCTTTTTTATATATAGGGGTGACTTTAGCTTGTTTCAGCTGCAAAGGAAAGATGCCATTAGTAATACTAGTATTAATTAGATGAGTTATAGGCTTAGAAATTATATGGGCAGAAAGTCTTAAGAGGCGGAGACCAATGAAATCTATACCTGCCGATTTATTAATGTCTTGTCTAATAGGAAGTAAGCTAAATACATTTTCAGCACTAAGTTTTGATTTTCTGAATTCTTTTAATTTATCTGGTTTAAAGTTACGTTTCGGTAATATAGTTAATAAATTGCTAGAAATCTTTATGAAGTGTTCATTAAAAACATTGATAATACCTTAACGTTAAGTTCTTATCCTTTGTCTTTGATTTATGAGTAGGAAAAAATATTTTGGTTTTGAGGATAAATGGATCACATAGCTCCAGAGTTCTTCAGGATTAGAGCTCTCCTCAATTTCTGATAAGTAAATTTAGCATTATTAATGGAAAGCGTAACTTTATCCCTCCAATGTCGAAAATTTTCAAAGTCTTTGTGTTGATAATAGTAATCTCGTAATTGTCTAGCATCGTTTATTTCTATTGTTAACCATTAATCACTCAGTTTTAACACGTTTAGTCTTTACTTTAGCGTGTCTATTTAGAATAGTATGAAACATATTGTAGAAGTTTGTTAATTTAAGATATCGTTAGGATTGTGCAAGTTAGAAAAGGCATCATAATAACCACTTTTTAAATCGGAAAGAAATTTTTCTTCATTTTAATTCTTAAGGTCGCGGTATTGAATTTCAGTGTGTTTCCCCTTACGCTGCATGCTGTTAGATCTGCGTGTTGCACAAACAGGGTAATGGTCAGACATAGCTATTGGTGATACTTGGATTTCACAGATGAGGTCAGGTTGGGTAGAGTAGAAATGATCAATAAGGGTAGATGAGGTGTTAGTAATCCTAGAAGGTGTGGTAATTAATTGAGTTAGTCCAAATTCTTCTAGTGCAGATGTCCAGGATAAAGGGGGGATCAATATTGAAGTCACCTGTAAGTATGATTTCTTGGTCATCACAGCAGAAGGCAATGTTAATCTCCCTAGCTAGGTCCTCCACACAGCAGGCGGATGCAGATGGTGGGCGATATGCAGAACAATAGAGGATAGGTTTTGTGTTTTTTAAATTGATTTCTAACCATATTGTCTCTATGTTACTAATTTCTAAACCTGTCGACGCTTAAAGGATAGATTATTTGAGACGTAAATAACTATTCCACCACCTGCTTTATTTTGTCGATCTTTTCTTTCAAATACATACATGTAACCATCTATATTCAAATCTGCGTCACTAATTTGTTCATTTAAAAAAGATTCACAAAACCCCAATACATCTATAGATCGTTCATTTTGTAAAATTAATTTCAGTTCGTCTAATTTTGGTAGAAGATGACACACATTAAAATTTCCGAAAAGCAAACTTTTTTTAACTAGACCAAAACCAGAATTTGTCGGGACACATTTATTAGAGATGTTTATTGCTTTGGTAGAATTTAGACTTTCAGGGCTAGGGCTTTTGTTTATCTCCTGTTTAGAATTAGATTTTTGCTTAGTTTTGAGATAATGTATATTTTTGGCAGATGAGTATTCTATTTCAGAATTTTTAAAGATACATTTACATGATTTTTTGTTACATTCTGAACATAAAGTTTCGAGAGGTAAAAAGTAATTTTGCAGACTTAATGAAATAATCTCTGTATATTCGGCCAGACATTCGTTGCCCCTATTTTAATATGGACAGATTTTTTGTTTGTGGCCTGCAGGTTCCCCAAACTGCCAGCAATCTACTTTGGTCCCATGTCTACAATTCCGGGATGAATGGCTTTGTTATCCACAGAAATAGCAGCACGTATATTTCATCGATGCGGAAGGATCAGATCCTTGATGTTGCTTCAGAATTGGGACATACTTATTGTATAGTTTCAACAGAGAGGTAGTTCCTTGGTCCGATAAATGTATACCGTCCTTCCAGTATAAAGGGGAATTCCAGGCTTTTAAAATTTGACTTGGTTTGAGTACTGTCGCACCATACTCTTCGCATACAAAACGGATAGCTTCATTCACATCAATGATCAATACATCTTTTCGAGGCATGACTTCACAAATGAAAACAGTAATATTTGAATTCCTCTCTTTCAGATCCAATATTATTTCGGAAAAGTCATTTTCTATTTCTTCCATTTTACGTTTATTTGAAGCATCATTTCCTCCAGCCTGAATTATGACATTTTCTAGAGAAGACACATCGTATTGCTACAATTTCTTACGAATATAAGAAATGCTAGCTCCTCTGTTGGTATTCACACTAACATTTGAACTTAACCCACGGGTTTTAATTCGTTGCAGAATTGAACTTCCGATCAAGAGTGTAGTTTTCTGCTGGTTGCTAGATGTGGAATTACGTTGTTTCTGGACGAATCTGTTTCCTAGTCTCTGGTGCACAGGTTGTTGTGGTTCTGTGTTTGTAGAGCTTTCTTTCATAGATACTTCTGGTATAACTTCATTACACTGTACATGTCTAGAAGTGACATTTATAGATGCCTTTGGCAGATCATTTGTACAATTGCCTTTATGTTTGAGGACTGTACAGGTTGTCTGAGTACTTGAACTTGCTAGACGTTTATTTGAATTTTTACTCAGATCTTTTTTTAACCAGTCGATTTCCTGCGTTACGCGATGAACAATTGATGAAAGTTCCTCTACACGTAAAGCAAATATTAATACCAAGTATTATATTTTAGACTCCCATAATAGGAAAAAATAAAACAAATAAAAAGGGGATAGGTGGGGTCCAGCCCCCAAGTGCCCGTGCCTTATGAGAATCTAGATCTATATAGTTAAAAGTATGTATTTTAAAGCAGAATAATTACAGATAGATATAAGCTAAAATGTAAGAGCTAACGGAATTGAATTCATATAGTGATATACAGTTGCTTTTCTTACTTCTATGTTTTTTTTTGGGGGGGGGGGGGGGGGGGGGGTGGGTGGGGGGGGGGGAGTTAAACATTTTCAAAATAAAATTTAAATGGTTTACAGTGCTCATTTCGGGGGCCTCCATGTAAGTCAATTGTTATCAGAAACATATCATACAAAACTCTTTAAATGAGAAAAAACATCCAAAATATAGTCATTAATTTATGCTCCTCAATAAATTTTTCATTGGGATTTTGCAAGCCCATAAAGCATCCATACCAGGTACAATGATTACGATGCAATTTTTGAATTCAAAATATGTTGAAAGGAGTAAAGTACATTCCTCCTCCTTTCATTTGAAAGTATGGAAAAAAATATCAGGAGAATCGTATTTAAGGTTTTATTTTATAAAAAAGAAAGGGGATTATTTCTATGGGGGTCATTTTTCAATGTTTGTTTAGTCGTAGAATTACTGGTCTGGAATGGTTTTCTACGGTCGAAAAATGACCCCACTTGTCGTAGAATATTGATTTTTGTACGTAGAAAAATGACCCCAGGTCAAATTACTAAGGGATGACTTTTCGTCGCACACCGGGGTGATTCGGCAATTCTTTGTGGCAAATGGAAAAAAAAACTATATTTGTGATATAATTGGAAAACATCTTCAAAAATGTTATATAGGTATATTAGAAACATCAACAAAACAGCTTCGACGCAAAGGCATATCCGGTACTCAACTTTGTTTTTCAGAAACACGGTTAATTAGAAGCAGAAAATCACAAGGATTTCTGATATTGCTGCACAATATCTGATATTGCTGCACAATATCTGATATTGCTGCACAAAAAGTTTTAAGTCGAAACAGGATAACAATTTACTGTCCGGTGTAATTTTTCTGATATTTTTATCAATTGCGAAAGCCCATTGGATTTGTAAGGCACGTTTATAAATTTTTATATCGTTTCCGTAATATTTTTCTTCATTTATTAAAAATTATTTAGGGTGTGCCCTTGCAAAGGTGTTTTTTGTCGATGTATTTATACCGTGTATGGGAAAGATCAAAAACATCACAACATGACATCATAATGAGCAGTTGCTATATCATGCTGTTTGTACTAAGATGTACAAGAAAATACCGTATATACTCGCCTATAAGTCGGTATTTTGGGAGTTCTAAAACTCTATGTCCGACTTATAGGCGAGTCATAAGAAGACAGATATTTTTTTCTGGGAACTAAAAGGTAGCATCTAATTTGCATTTCTGACGATTATCAAAGAAATTGTCTGCATATAAAAGATAATTTATATTTTCTTAGATTATATATATAATGTGCAAGTATATACATTTTTTAATAATTTTATTTGCATTTTTAGTGACATTGCCTTTTTGTTTGATAATTAAAGATTACATATCAGTGTATTATTTGAAACCAAGTTAAAATATCAGTGGATTTACTTGAAATTGTCACCAGATACTGGCAAAAAAGTTGCACCGACTTATAAGCGGGTCAATAGCAAATCCCACCAAAATGACTTCAAAAATTACAACCGACTTATAGACGAGTATATACGTTAAGCTTGAACCTTCTCTGTGTAAAAATTACACAAATAATGCATTTTTCATATCAGCTCATTTGCATAGAAAGGCCTCTACCTAGCCTTTACTAACTTGCATGGAATACAAAATATTCATTCATAGGTCATATAGCATTTTCTGTATTTTTTCTATCAAACACAACTTTCATGATAAAATTGGTCCCAATCATCGCCGCTATGATATGGGTTTCAATGTTTTTTTTAAAATATTGAAACGCATATTAATTGGAAATCTCTTAGTGTTGTACTATTTCATTTTGTTATTTTAGAGGGAATATTAGATATTTTTATGATAAATATTTAAATTCTTATCAGGGAAAATATGAAGAAGTTTACTTCATACCAAGAAAGCTGTAACACATTTTACATGAAAGTTGTATCCCAGCTGTGTTTTGAAAATAACTCCCCTCCAGAGAAAGAAGTAATCAAGAAATTGTCAAGTCTTATAACCAGTGAATGTGTTCCGGAGGAAGAAAGAGTAGCGACATTGGGAAGAAGCGAATATACCAAGAAAAAAACATTGGCAACGAAAAGAATGTGTATCTTTGATACCACAACTGATATCACACCCGTTTTCAGGTCGTTCCTACTGCAACTGTTAATAAGAACAAAGTAAGTTTGAAGATTTGATTTGTTTTGTTTTGTTTTATTTTCATTGGAGAGTTGGAGGGGATAAATGTTACTTCATTTTAATATTCATGTTTATGTAAATTATTTTTTCTGAATACATGTATTGTTTGAAGAATTAAAAAAATTAACCTGGTAATTTGATTGCTTAATGCTTCGTAATTTCGATTTTTTTCCATTTCATTCCATTTGTACGGATTTAATTTTCGAATAAATAGTAAAGTATCAGTGCTGTTCAAATAATGAATTGTTCTGCTTAATTTCTATCGTTGTTCAGTTCTAGTGATGTTTATGAACACCTCGCTGAATTTTTCAAAAATGCATCTCAATGTGTGCAAAATGAAGAAGGTAAAGGGAAACATCTTCAGGAAATATGTATGCTTTTAATACAATGCATAGAGGTAAGTATATTTGAAATTTACATAAATAGGTATTATGTAAACAGCCTCTTTTTCATTACAGCAGATATTCTTGAAAATCTTGAAAAATCTATTATTTCCAATTAAGTTTCAAACAAATTCAAACACTAAACTAACTCAGTGGAAGAAGAATGGAAATAGCAAATAGCTTAAAAGCATATATCTTTTTTGTATTATAATATTTTTGTAACCTTTTATAGGACAATTTGCATGAGAAAATAACGAAGCAAAGCTGTAGAACATGGCAAGATGTTTATGCTATAGTAGCAAAAATGCTACACGAGACCAAAGAAAAAATGATCCAATGCGAAAAATGTCTTATTAATGATGTTTCAATCATGCAAGAAATTTCAAGTGCAAGATACGGATTACGAGTTGTGTCAAGATGTCTTTATGAAATCTATTTCGAAAGAAAAAAGAAGACTTCTAGTGCGAAAGAATTGCTTAGGGAAGCGTCAGACCTCTGCTGTTTAGAAAATAAGCATATCAGGTAGCTGCATCTCTTCTTTCTTCATAGCAATTGTACAACCTTTGTTTTTATACCTTATTTGGCTATCATATGTTTCATAAGCCTAGTCAATGCATAGGGTTAATAATTAAAGGTGTGATCGGTTGACAGCTTACTCCTCCTACTTGGTTCACCAACTTGGGGTGCATGTGTTAGTCTTATTCACAGATTTTAATTGTTTGTAGATTTAATAAATCATAAATATAATTTAAATTAATACTTGGCAAATAACGAATTATTTTTCAAGTCGTTTGGCTATGCATACATTGACAAACAGGTTGATGAAATCTGTCAAATCAATACCAAAATTTCAGATCAGCATCATATGATAGATATGTTGGAATTCAAGTTTAGCACAAACTTAGACTTTTTCAAACTTTAATCCTTTTGTCAAAGAAAGTGTTACAAAATGTCAACATAAAGATTGAAATAGTTATGAAAAGGGTTTCAACAAATCAACAAACAAAAGATTACATTCAATCATTTTGCAGTGAAAACATTTCATTTTTTGTACGTTAGATTTTTTTAATGTTAAAGAAGGGAAACATATATTTTTAGTGAAGGAAAAAAAATCTTTATTTTCTTTTAGTCAAGAAGACGTTTTTACTTTTTCTTTGAGGTGGAATGCCAAACCAACATTTTACATCAGAGATGTTTAAGAAATCCCATTTTAATTACGGTTTCAGCAAGAAAGTCGATATTAGCTCTTTTCAAATTAGTTTATAAAATTTTCTTATTTTTTTCGAACAGAATGAAAAAACATAATTTATTTTTAAAAAGATGCCTTACAGTTAAACATTTTCTGTATATAAATGAATCCTATAAATATCTATTAAATCATGCAAAGAAGAGACAAATAGAATTTATTTTTTTCCAAATGTTTATTATGAAAATTGTTAACAAGTGTTGAGAATATTTTTAAACCTGTAACAAAAATGTTCACAAAACCAGTCAAACCCAGGGGTAACATGTAAGTTAATAATTCAAAAAATTATAATGACATTGTCAAGTCTAAGAGATTTTTTTTATTTTTACTGATCGAAATTTATATGACCCGTACCAGAATTGTATAATAATTGGAAATATCTAACATTTTTGACGAATAGTAATTTGGTAGGTGAAATAGGGGATACAAAATACATTAACGTGACAATCAAACATATTTCTAAATTGTTATCGCAAATCTTGCTTGAAAGTGTAACCACTGCGGCCGAAATAGCATTGCCTTGAGTGATGTCACTATTGGATTTGACAATTGAACAATTCGATTCACGGATTGCATTCTATAAAACAAGCGTTTTAATTTGTTGATTAGGACCCGCCCACTCTCATGCAGTATCCTTTGCCTTTGTAAGTTGGAAAGCGTAAAACGGCCCTGTGATGGTCGAAAACCGATGCTGACTTTCTAAACATAATAATAAAGACTAACTATGAAATCACTTTATAGTATGTGATATATTCCTATTGCAGACTGTACATGTATATCGTTTGATAACAAACACTAATTTCATTTTATTCTACATGTAGTTCTGCCGAGTTTCTATTCATGGCATTTTCAATTTTCGGTGGTGCAAATTGAAAACGCGTGCGTGCGTAGAAAGCATATCCAGCTAATACCGGAGCACCCGTTGAAAAAAAAATATAAATTGAATTTCATATGTGGTAAAACATCGGATTTAATTAAAAGTTTACTGTTTTGATGTCACGAGTATTAAAAATACCATGTTTCAAATGTTTATGTGCTACTGCATACCTATTTTGATTGTCGTCATGGCAATATTTAAACTTGCGATCTGGAAAAAAACGAAATCCTTGTGCAGTGCACTTTTTACTGTAATTGCGAATATAATTTATATGTTCACTATAAAAAAATTAATATCACTTATATATACATGTACCAAAACTACGTACGTTTAATTTTATTGATCATGTTTATGTACTGAAGAAAAAACGGGGAAAACAGTCGTGTTTTAATTGCAAAAAATATGCCCCTGGTGACGTGAATCATTTTAAGGCCAGTCTTGGAACAGATATTATTTGAAGATCATTACAGGTTACCCACACTCACTATAGTTTAATAAGATATTGCATTGGGGGTCACCTGAATACTTCGCTCAGTAAAAGGGGACCTACCACTTGTTTTTTACAGCTGTTCTATCTTGGAAATATTCCATGAGAAAGTGGGCGGACTTATAAAAAAAGCACCAGTCAGATTCGTTGTTGCATTGTGTAGTTTGAATACAGCCGAAATGAATTTTTAAACTGTTAAATCCAGTTGTGTTGTCACCCAACGTAATGCTGAAAAAGTCAAAGTGTATACGTTTGAGCGAGAATTGCGATAATACATGAATGATGCAACAAATTATTTTATTACTTTTTTTGTTATTTGTCGCAATTGGTCCAAATATCTTAAATAAATATATCTTTAAACTTTGCAAATTCGTTTCAATTTTTTTTTTATAATTGTCAAAATTTTCTCCGTAGTTGTGACTAGTTTTGAGGAGTTTTAAACAATTTGTTTAAAGATATCCACAAATAATGTGTTTTGTTTATTAACTGTTATAGCTGCTGCAAATGCTAGACTGTAAAGGACCTCATTTGCATATGAACATTTTATTTTATTTTCTCTGAAAACATACAAAAATAATTCATAGTCGATAATTAAGAGCTATTATTGGTCTTCCAATGCTGAAACCGTTGTTTAAAAGGGATGGATTAAATTCTATTAAACCTTGGTGTGGCATTCCTCCTTAAATATAATGATCATGGCAAAATGTACGTCTTGTACGTTTACATTAATGGTAAATTTGGCTGGCTAAATTAGAAGATGTAAAATTTGCATGAGGAAACGGTTACACTGCCTCAAAGAGTTTTATTTTTCAGAAAAAAATACTTTCACTGTAATTTTTTGGCTCTAAAAATCTCTTATTATGTGTATCATTTTATAGATTTTTCCTGTTGAGAGATATTTATACATCATACGGCGTGGAAATGTACAATACTTTGTTAAAATCGGAGGAGGAGTGGATGTTCAGAGGACTAGATAAACCTGACCTGGTTAGTGATGAAATAAATTGGTCGATATATTTTATTGAAAAATAAACTAACACATGTAGCAGGATCAGTGCAATTCCTAAAAATTAACTATAGCTATATGCATTTATAATTTACTATAATATAAGATCAGCTTTTTTACTTTGTGACTCAAGAGCAGACGCTCTTACCACTGTGTTACACTGGCGATTAACATGTTTGCTGTTACATGTATGATAAAATTATTTTGCCTTTAACTTCCGTATCCATGATTTCAAATTTAGCTTTATGTTAATTTACTCTGTAATATTATCCATAATTGCATCTCATCCATATATTCTTAAAATAATAATAGTATTTTTAAATTAACAGACCATAGTCTTTTTATAGAAAAGTCTAAATTTGTCTTCCTAAGGTCGGTCTGTCTGGAAAAATGAATAATATGTGAAGCTTTTTGATATTGTTAATTCGAAATTGTTAATATCATGGCTCTATCTGGGAATAAAGGGTGAACCTTAAGGTCTTTTATCGTTCGATAACATCAAATACACAATAAGTTAAATTAAAAAGACTCTTCGGGTAGTACATATTCAAATTCAAAATTTGCAACACCAAAGTAAAATTAAAAGCTTGCTTATCCTAAAATATCAGATTAAATTGTTTTTCCTCAACGGTGTTATAAAAATAGATTTGAAAAAAAAAAATGTTTTTTGAGTAATGTAACTTCCGTCTATAATTATATATTTTGCAGGACATGAAATTTCCGGACTACTGTGCTATTCTAGGAGGGGAGTATACGGATACAAGAAATGTATTAATATCAAAAATGTCCAAGGAAAGAGTTGGTGCAGTAATTGTGGTATGGAGGTTCTGTTAAAAAAATACTAATAAGATTGATGATCGTGATAAAAAAACACCAGTTTTTGAAATAATGATTAATATACTAATTTATTGTTTAATATATATAATTTCTACTTCAAGGATCGACACAAAAGAAAATACTTCATGGTTGCATTAGCTCAAATGACTTACACATATCCAAAAGAGTTTATTTTTAAGGTATATATATATATATATATATATATATATATATATATATATATATATATATATATATATATATATATATATATATATAATATATTTATATATAAATATATTATATATATATATATATATATATATATATATATATATATATATATATATATATATATATATATATAGAAACTACAAAGAAATTCACTTTTACATGGATACCCACTTCCGCCCCAGACCTACGGAATCGGCTATCTAGGCAAGTCAAAAAACTTGCTTTCGATGCCGATGGAATTCTCGCGGCGCTGCCTTACACTACACGGTCAATGAGAATAGAAGTGAGATACAGTTATTTTGACATTAGTTTTTAACAGAGGATTGTTACCAATACATGTTGTAATGTAATTGATTATTTATAAAGCACAGTTTACAACAACTATTAAACTAACATAACTGCCTTAAGTGAAGAAATATTAATATAGAAAGCACAAAGAAATTCATTTTTACATGGATAACCACTTCCGCCCCAGCCCCGGTGTTGAATTCTCGACCTACGGAATCTGTCTCCTAGCAGTGCAGGAACAGCGTGCAAGACATGTATTGGTAACAATCCTCTGTTAAAAACTAATGTCAAAATAACTGTATCTCACGTCTATTCTCAATGACCGTGTAGTGTAGGGCAGCGCCGCGAGAATTCCATCGGCATCGAAAGCAAGTTTTTTGACTTGCCTAGATAGCCGAGCTGGAAGCACTGACATCAACGCTTGCTATGGTCTGTAAAAAGCCTTATCGAGCCTTTTAAAGTTTATAACACTTTTTCTACGATATCTTTTTACTTGTAAATATATTTATTTCCACAAATTTTCCTGATAATCCGACAAGACAATTTCTGGCTATTCGAAGCTCGTTTTTGCTCAAATTTTTGTATAAATTACTGAAACACAATTGAGTGAAACTGTCATTTATTCAAATAACAAATGACTAAGAATAAAATTTATAATACATATTACACAAAGTTATAAAACAATTAATTGACTGGGTTTGGTAAAACATACAGAACGAAATTTATGCAGAATTAAAATCTTACCAATGATATGTCCAAATAGTAGCTGGCTCCTACAATAAGGGCTCTTTAGGGGCCAAAATTTTAACCCGATATCTCGCAAAGTATTGAGAATGAAATGCATCAAAGAAGCATTTTTTTCGAAATAAGACGTAACAGCTATTGAGATCGCCAAAATGACGTCCCTTCCGGTCAAAACAGGGCGTAGTCTAAAGTTGCTTATTTTCACAGCTTTTGGTAATGATTTTTTATTATAAACGTCCCGGAGAATATTCACAACTGTATTCCATGTCGATTTTCGTGTTTTTGACACTCCCAGTTTTACTGGCCATGGAAGTAAATACAATTGGCTAGTATCAGCAGGTATTACCAAATATTTTACTGCAACCGAGAATCCTACCCAACTTTCTTTTGTTTTGAGTCACTTTCGGTAAAATTTAAACAGGAAGTCATCAAAGTCATCTTAAAATGTTTTTTTTTATTTCATGACAATCAAAATAGATTAATCATTATAAAAATGCTACATACATCGACGTCATTTTTGTTCGGGGTGAGCTTTTATTGAAAGTATACATTATATTAATTTATCAATCTTACAAGCAATGCTTCTGAAAATCGGACGGAAGACCTACTTGTTGTTTGCAGTGAGCTCCCTATTAGTTTTTATTCTTATTAAAAAATTAGACAAATTTTTCTGCATGCGATTTCTGGAGAACTTTTCAGTGGGTTTTTTTTGGTTAATACGTTCAGGGATAAGGTACAACAATATGCCTTATTGTGACATTTGGAATAATTTTTGGGACAAATTGCAGCAAGTTCTAAGTTATGGATATCGTTAAGATTTTGAAAATGAAATTTTGTCGCTTGTGTATCTAGAGAAGGACTAAAATGATAAACTGGGGACGAGTAAGAGAGCATATGACATAGATACATGTATGCATAGTTATGCAGAATCTCATGTCATGCGTCAACATTACTTCTGATGGCTCTCAGAAGCGACTTTTAAAGTCATCCAATTTTGACATAAAGCATTAATGGCTGAAAAGGAACAAATATTGTGTATTTTATGATCCCTGCCCCCTTGGGCCTGAGTTGTGGGACCTAATTAACTAGAATTAATGTAATCTTTAAAAATCTTCTTTTTTACTCCTGGACATCAAGCAGTCAAACTCTGACCATGATTGTAATCAGCATTTAGTCCTCTTCCACAATTGTAAACATCGTGGCCCCAGAGTCAGGGATTCTAGAATTAGAGCGGGATTCAATAGATTATTTTTTGAAAATGCATGATTTCTTTGTAAATCTTCTTCTCTATCCCTAGGTATTTCATACACTTACAAAGGATACGATTATGATGAGCAGGAATGTCTATTCTAAAATTGTGAATTTCATGGCCCCAGAGTCGGGGTTTCTGGTTTTACGCGGGTATGATAAGACTGTCCGTAAAATATCAAACAATTCAAACAGTAGCAATTTTTCCGAACTACTTAGATATGACGTCATGTCACTGCATATTTGAGATGACATGACAAGGAAATGTGATAACCTTTACATTCCTTGCGTATGGCATGTAGATATTTTTGTGTTGTTGTTTGATTTAAGTGTTTGGATTTTTTTTTTATTTCAGCTCCAGCATGCTGTTATCATGTTGAACATTTGAAATTTAAATATCCTTATTCCTTTCGCTTGTCTGATTAGCACATATGGATTTGTGTCCGTCACATGATCAACAAAGTTATGTGACATAACAAATATGCTTTTTTTAAAAATACCGTATTAAACTCTTGTCACAAGTTGACTTCAAATCGAAGTAAGGATTACAAATTAAAATTGAAATGAAGCTCAGAATAAAATGTTAATTTTTACTGCATTTTAAGCCCTTGGACAGCCTTAGCATAACTGCGTAGGACGGGGCTCTATTGATCAAATAGTGAAAATGCAGAAATTCTTTAAAAGATGTTCTCCTCCGCTCCTGGGCATTAAATTAGTGAACTTTTACATGCACATAGATATAATGAGCAAGAACATCTCTTTTGAATTTGTGAATTCCATGGCCCCAAGGTTGGAGGTGCTGGTGTTGGGGCGAGGTTTCTTTAAAATTTTTCTTCTTTGCTCATGGATAGTAGAGAAACTAAATTAAAGAAAGTACAAACTTGTGCTGCTTCTTACAATATTGTGAATTTCATGGCCTAGGGGTCAGGAGTTCTACTGATGAGGTTGGGCTCTGTTGATTTTTAAGTGAAAATGCATGAAATCTTTGAAAATCTTTTCCTTTTGGTTTTATATCAATGATATAATTAAGTACATATTTGTTGGATAAATGATTAATTTCAGGAAAGGTTCCCTGGGTCAGGATTTCAGAGGGATAATAAGTTAATGCTTTGAAATCTGCTCTTATGTATTAATCCACCATTTATGATAAAATAAAATTAAGGATAAATTTTTCAAAATTTTGAAATTTGTGACCCGAGGGTCTACATGTACCTCTTGGCATTCAAGGGCCAATTTAGACATGTTAAGTGTATATTTATGATAAGCAATGGTGCCTCTATCAAAATTGATTTCATGGCCTAGGGTTCAAACAACTAATCACATTCACTTGATGGAAAGCTGTTACATGATACTAATGTGACCTATAGGGCCCCTGGGCGTCTTGTAATGAACAACAGCGGTATTCATCAATTAGTACATCGTTGTTTCCGCCAAAGCTGCAACAATATGAAGCCAACTACATGTATTTTAAGTTCACATACAGTACTTTACCACGTTATTATGAACTAAGTTCTTTAAATATATTGTTTGTTTTGTTTGGGTTTTTTTCCTTTTCGGAGCGTCAATGAATAATTCAATAATTGATATAAATTGGTACATATTTCAGATGAAAGGGGAATATCAGCTTCTGAAAGATAAACAGGTTCAGGTAATTATAACAACAACTATATCAAAGGTTTCATAGAGTAAAGCACTATATTAGCACCATTTTTGCTACATACAATTGAAACATTATTTCGTTTAATTATTTTTAAATACTTTTCAATTTTTCTTATATATTGTGTTCAACAATACAATTGTCCATGTCTAACTAACAGTTAATCAATCTGAAATGTATTGAGCTTTAAATTTTATAATTCAGACTTTAAGATGCATGTGGTATCACACTGTATTCAAAATATAATGTATTTCACAATAGCATTTCTAAGTTTAGTCAACGACCTAAACGGTATTGTTACGTGATAGGCAATTCTCGCAAATCTGCGATATCTCAAAAGTAGCGAGATATGTTGCGTCCATTTTAGTCAATTGTATATCTAATGCCATCAATATTATTTCAGATAAAAACTTAATTATATCAATCAGAAAATTATTCAAAATTTGTTTTAGCTCATGTTATACACCTTATCTTAATATTAACGTTTATTTCAAACTTCGCTCATGCTTTGGATCGATCGTATTATAATTTATACTTACTTGTAAATTATTAGAAATACATTCAAATATACGGAAAGAATACATAACATTATTCAGAAAAAATACTTTTTACAGGGAATAAACCCACTATAAAAAAAGCCTGTGTTGTGCGCGGAGTTTAATGTGAATAAACATGACGTTAAAGAAGGTGCCTATGAATATACAACAGAATTATCATATGACATTAATTTTGTCTTTTTCTCATGATTGAATCCTTTATTGACTGATATCAGTTTATGTGACCACTTACCATCTCATATTTTCATTATGAGAAGCTGGAAAACAAGGGCTACATGCAAGTCTACAAATTTTTACCTATATACGGCACTCAAAACCATTGAGTAGTGAGGGATCGTTTTGCGCAAGCACATACTGCGACAAGGGATTTCGGTTTATATGGTCTCATCAAAAGAGTTTATCTCCAAATGCACCCCAACAGGATTCGAACACCTGCGAAGTAAGGATCAATTAACACCTTACTTTGAATCTCTAGAGCAAACTATTTTAACAACTGCACCATGCGAGTGACACTTAAAGTTTGTGATTTTGATTTGATTCAAATGTAATTAAAAATCAGACATAGTTTAACGAGATACTACAAAAAAAGTCAGTTGTAATCATGAGGAACGATCTGTCTCACAGATCGATCATTGGGATTCTTATACCATTGTGTCCGTGCATACGCATGCATTCATTAATTTTAATTGTTTTAATTATATAATAAAAGCAAATGATACATTTTATAAGGTAATACTACAATGAAAGTACATACACATTTTTCAAGTTCAGATTTGGTGTTGTACACTTGACCAACTGAATGCTGATAAATTCATGAAATTAAGGATGCAAAATTAATGTCATTTGAAATTGTGAGATCGAATTTCAACAAACTTTAATGCTATTATTTTTTTCCCTCTACCAACGTAAAAAAAATGAGTTGCATGTATTTGGTCTGACAAAAATTTTCCAGTCTAATAGATCGTTTTACTTGTCAGAGCAAATAAATATCTGGCAGTGATATTTTCCGCAGTATTTTTTTTTTAAAAAGAAACAAATTGAAAGAAGTTGGGTTAAACCTTAGCGTTCCTTTGACCTTACATCTTTATATTTCGACAATCGCATCATTGTCAAACCAGTTAGACCAGTTGTTGCTCTTTGGATGACCTCGCACTTTTTGTAATAAAGCATAGTGGAATTTGCCGAGGATTGGCGAATGATAAATGACAGAAAACTGGGACTTTTTCTTACGAGAGACAAATATGCTATTCAAATTAAATTATAAATAAAATTCTATTTCATTTACTTTTAAATCATTTATGAAAATTAGATTAATTCAGAAAAATGTGATGGACTATTTCTATTGCGGAAGTTTCTTCGAGTTTATAAAGACTGGTACAAGTTTGTATTGAATATCAAAGGGGGGTAAATTGGGCGACACAGAAATACCACGAAGGCTGCTGTATAATTCATTGTAAAATTACTGCGCTTGAAACCGCGTGACGACCTAGGGAGTCTGAACAAAGTTCAACTCCCGAAAATGAATGATAAGAATCAGTAAATTAGAGTGAAATTAAACGCTTAATTCAAGGCCAGGTGTTGAAAACTTGATCAGAATCCCAAAGTAATATTTACTGAGTTTGTGAAATTTACAGCAACCAATGCCAATTTTATAGACACATGAGCAGGACTTCAGTGAACAATAATGATACTGCTGGCATCAGAAATGGGTGCAGTCCTTGGCGACAAGGACTTAAAACAACCAATATTCTCTTTAACAAAATTCAACATATTGTCACTTATGATATTCGACTGACTTGAAAACACATAGTAAATTAAATAGGCATCAATATTTTGGTAGTTTACACTATTTTAAAGAAAAAATTTGACAGTGAAAAAAAGCTAGTTACTAGATGGTCACCCTATGTTTTGAAAAATGAGCGAAAATGACATCGTATAAGAATAACTATACAATTACTATTAAAAACAGAAATTGAAGTTATTCACGTTTGTGTGAAATTCAAATGGATAATGAAACTTGAATCCATTGCTTTGTTATCTTCAAAATATTTTTAAATTAAGATGGACTTTACTAAATAGCGTAGGTCTTCAAAGAATAAAGAATTACAATAGAAAAATGAAAGTTTTATATTCCATTTTCTTAAATATTTAGTGGTCTTGTCGTTCAAAGTCTTATTTAAGAAGGCAGTTCAATTTCTGAAGGAGTCAAGAAAGCGAATTTTTTGGAAAAAAATTCGAAAGGTTTTTTAGAGGAAGGAACTAAAATAAGGAATCCACTACACAAAATGTCTTCATAACAGCGTCCAAACCTACATGGCATGAATAGTAAAGGGGTTTTGAGGATTGAAAGGTACTATTTTGCCACACAGTAATATTTTGCCAGATCTGGTCCATTTTCCAAAATAGAAAAAAAAATACCTTTCAGAAAGCAGAAACAAGTCCAAGAAATCATAAGATATGACATAATCGAGTACACGAAGGGCCATACTTAAAATGAGTTATTAAACAATTACAAATTGGATAAAAATGTTACGGTCATGCGTTATTATGCAAAGAGAATATTAAAGTTAAATCATCAGGACAGTCATTGAATTCTTTTTTATTACTTTTTTTAGCTTTTTGCCGAGCACAGAAGAAATTATTTTTTAGACAGCCCTCGTAGATATCTGCTCAAGTATCATTTCTATTATATTTTATGTATTTTTATTTTATAAATAAAAGGAAGCAGAGGACATGGTGGATGACAGAATTGCTGCATCAAAATACTTCGATCTTAACGACACCAGACAAACAGCAATATTAATACTTTTAGCGCATTTGAAAATTGTGCTTGGTACAAGATTATGTAAAAACATTTGTCAGCCTCTTTATTTACTAGCACACAATCCAGCAACGTTAAAGGTAAGCATATTTGAATATTAACATTTTCAAATATTTACTTAGAAGAACCTGTGGAACAGAAAATATGTTCAATTTTATAGAATTTGTTTGGGGGTCAGAGGTCATAGCTCAGATATATAGGCATCTTGTTTACATATTTCTGTCACTCTGCAATTGATATTTGAAAGAATGAGTAGACTTAACGCCTTACTGTAAACCAAATTTTATTCGGGACGACTTTATTTTGCAATTCACCGGGAGTAAAGTAGTTTGCGACGTTTAATTTTCGCGATGAAGCCTTTTTTGGAACTGTTTTAATAGAAAACTTGAAGGACCCGTTCGCGGCGAGAAAAAAATCGCGATAACGAGGCTCTCGCTAACCTTGCAAAAAATTCCCACACGCGAATTAAAGTTGGTTTACAGTATTTTGGATCTTTTTGAGACTCCTTTACCAAGCTGCAAATGAAGTGAATCCAAAATATATTTAATATATGTAAAAAAAAACACTTGCAGGTGATGAATTTTAATATTTAACAGGTCAATCGTTGTCATAACAATGGAATCGAGAAGTTTGTTTTGAACATGTTTTTTGTAAAATTAAGTATGAGCGCACATTTGTCGGCTCTTCTCCTTTTAATATGACATTATTTTGTTCAATATACAACTATAGTTTTCTTAAGAACAGCCGACAAACATGCTCTGACTATGTACTCAGACGATGAAAAACGCGTGACCCTGATTATCTATTGATATTCAAGGAATCTTCAGGCACTATGCCTTTGATATTGTATCTGTCACTGTGCAATTGATATTTGAAAGAATGAGTAGACTTAACGCCTTACTGTAAACCAAATTTTATTCGGGACGACTTTGTTGTGCGATTCACCGGGAGTTAAGTAGTTTCGACGATTAATTTTCGCGATCAAGCCTTTTTTGGAACTGTTTTAATAGAAAACTTGAAGGACCCGTTCGCGGCGAGAAAAATTCGCGATAACGATGCTCTCGCTAACCTTGCAAAAAATTCTCACACGCGAATTAAAGTTGGTTTACAGTATTTTGGATCTTTTTGAGACTCCTTTACCAAGCTGCAAATGAAGTGAATCCAAAATATATTTAAAATATATAAAAAAAAAACACTTGCAGGTGATGAATTTTAATATTTAACAGGTCAATCGTTGTCATAACAATGGAATCGAGAAGTTTGTTTTGAACATGTTTTTTGTAAAATTAAGTATGAGCGCACATTTGTCGGCTCTTCTCCTTTTAATATGACATTATTTTGTTCAATATACAACTATAGTTTTCTTAAGAACAGCCGACAAACATGCTCTGACTATGTACTCAGACGATGAAAAACGCGTGACCCTGATTATCTATTGATATTCAAGGAATCTTCAGGCACTATGCCTTTGATATTTATTTAGTTTACCTAGAAGAGAGCGTTTTAAATTAATGTCTGTACCATGAATACACGGTTAAGATATCCGGGTTTATATGAAGGAACAGCAGTAACGTTTTATAAAACTTTTAATTTACGGCATTTTTTCTGGCTAGTTAAGTCCACCCATTCTTTCCAAGTTACGTGGTTTAATAATGATGAAGAATATAACATGATTCAAACATGGATATTTTTCAATCAAAATATGTACAATAGATATTTTTTTCTATGTGAATGATGTTTTCATCGAAGGATATGGAGATAACGAACAGTATTCAATCTCAAAGTCCATAAAGCAATAAAAAATAAAAACAGAGTAAACACAGACCCCCCAAAACATCAGAGGTGGGGTCAGAAGCCATGGAGGAGTGAGCATCCCCTGCCGACCGATCACACCCGCCGTGTGCTCCTTGTCATGATCAGGAAATAACGGAAATTGTATTGACCATAGAACTGACAAAATGATGACTTTAAACGAGACTCCTGATATTCTTGTTTCATCAACTTTCTTGTCAATAACTAATCTCGTTTTAGAAATTGTTCATACGTAGAGCATGCTCTTTCGTATCGAATTAACTGAGATATATATACTCCGTATGCAGGTGATGAAGGTATATTGCTGCATAAGTAAGGGAAGTTGACGATAGAAAAGGTAAAGTCATCACGTTTATCATATAGCTTTGTTGTTAGATTACCATTAGTGTCTTTTTGAAGTAAAATATCCAAGTATGAAGCAGAAGTGTCGGACTCAGTGGTATCTTTTATATTATTAGCCTAAAATCACACTTGCTTTTTAATTTTTCTCCCGATATTCATTTTGAGTTATGTTAACTGAAAGAGGGGATACTCCGCTTTTGACTTCTAATATATTAAAAACTCATGAAATAGTAATAAAAGTGTATCTTCCTGATCAATACGCATATGATAAGGGGTGAGACCAATCAACAGGGGATGCTTTCTTCTCGTAGGCACCTAATCCAACTTTTGAAATTTCTAGGGCCCTTGTTAGCTCTTCTGAGCCAAAGGCTCAAAGAGCTAATGCTATGGCCATTTGTGCGGTGTGCGGTGTGCGTTAACTTTTTTAGAATATGGGCCATAACTCAAAAACCCTTTGGCCAATCAGTGCCAAATTTGCGACAGGGTATCCTTGGCCCAAGGGCTAGCATTTATACTAAAATAAGGGTTGGGACCCTTAAACAAGGGGAGATAATCAGGAAAACAAAACCAAAAGCACTAGTTGCTAAAAAATCTTCTCCAGAACCGCCAGGCAGATTTTCAACAAACTTACATACAAGGATCAGGATATGTTGAAAATTAAAAGTTGTTCAAGGCATGACCCTAGGGCAAATGGCGTGGCCTCAAGGTCACTTTGAAGTTGACCTAAATTTACAATTAATAAAAATGTTTATATTTTGCTTACTATAAGGGCTAAGATTATCAAATCTTGTAAGTTGATGCATCTTAGGACTTCACATCATGTTAACTCAAAAGTAGGTCACGGTGACCTACTTTTTTAATTTTGCGGCCATTTGTTTTCAAATTGATTTTAAGGCATATTTTGGAAACTTTAAGGCCTATGATAATGAAATTTATTCAGTTGATGCATCTTGGATCCTTAAACAACGTCAACCTAAAAGTAGGTCACTGTGACCTACTTTTTGAACTTTATGACTTATCCTTTTCAAAACATTTAATCCCATTATTTCAGGCACTGAAGGTGTTAGAATCATAAAATTTTGTAAGTTGCTGCATCTTGGGACCTTAAAACATATTTAAGAAAAAGTAGGTCACTGTGACCTACTTTTAGAATTTTGCAGGCATATGTTTTCAAATTGTTTAAAAGGCATTTTTTGATTACCTTCAGACCTACAATCATCAAACTTGGTCAGGAGATGCATCTTGGGACTCTGAAAAATGTCGACCGAAATGTAGGTTACGGTGACCTACGTTCGACATTTTATGGCTATATTTAAGTATCTTCAGTATTTATTGGCTTAGAATCATCAAACTTTGTCAGTTGATGCATCATGGGTTTTCGGAGAGTGACGACCAAAAATTAGGTCATGGTGACCTACTTTTGACATTTTATGGCTATATGTAAGTATTTCCGGTACTTATTGGCTTAGAATCATGAAACTTTGTGAGTAGATGCATCTTGGGTTTTCGGAGAGTGATGACCAAAAATTAGGTCACAGCGACCTACTTTTGACATTTTATGGCTATATTTAAGTATCTTAGGTATTTATTGGCTTAGAATCATCAAACCTAGTCAGCAGATGCATCTTTGGACTCTGAAAATGTCAACTAAAATGTAGGTCATGGTGACGTACTTTTGACATTTTATGGCTATATTTAAGTATCTTAGGTATTTATTGGCTTAGAATCATCAAACTTTGTCATTGATGCATCTTGGGTTTTCGGAGAGTGATGACCAAAAATTAGGTCACAGCGACCTACTTTCGACACTTTTTGGCTATATTTAAGTGTCTTCGGTATTTATTGGCTTAGAATAATCAAACTGTGAAAGTTGATGCATTTTGGTTTTTCCAAGATGCAGACCAAGAAGTAGTCCTTAGGCTAAGAATCATCTAACTTTGTCAGGTGGTGCAACTTTGGTCTTAGGATACTTAGGGTTAGAGGCTTCAAATACAAGTGATAGGTTGTACAATTTATCAGAAGAGCGATTCAAGGCCCTTGGGCCTCTTGTTTTATTACCTCTTCACATACTTGTATTGTTTTTAGATTTTTTGAGATGGATCATTGTTCGTAATCGTCACCTTTTTTACTTTCATGTATTAAAAGCCTACCATTTATTTCGCAGAAAACATTCCTTCCTACAATGCCTGACGTTAACCTCGAAGGAAATATGTTGACATACACACCTAAAATGATCCAAGGGAAATCTTACGGTAAAAAAGAACAACCATTACTGATACATCTTATACTGGTTGAATCATGTTTCAATTCCATGATGTGTTGTAATGATTTGTTCATTTTTTTCAGTTTGTCCCAATAATCATATCTATTTCATCGGTGATGTAAGTAATAGATTATAATTTTTATAGTAATTTTTATTATTCAAATGTTTCTTTTCGTTTCTTATTTACCTGTATGCAATTGTAATGCAATTCTAATGTATATCAAGCAAAATGGCTATCATGATATACTTATAATGTCTGTAAATATATTTCAAATATACCTCAAGATCATGTATTTGTATACCTGCATATGGCGTTTATATATCTCAGTTGATTCGATCACATGTTCTTTGTTCGATACAATAAACTTGTCGTCAAACACAATTTATCATTGCTTTAAATGCTGACTGACGTTTGTCATACAAATTGTTACTTCATTATTTATACACTGAATTGACGACGGATTTTCCAGTTATTTCCCGATCATAACAAGGAGCAAACGGCAGATGTAACCGGTCAGCAAGGGATGCTCACTCCTCATTGGCACCTGTCTCACTTCTGATGTTTCGGGGGTCCGTGTTTGCTCTGCTCCTGTTTTGTATTGTTTTATGGCCTTTGATATTGAATACTGTTCGTTATCTCCATATCCTTCATCTCTTTGTCAAAACTTTTACTGCGTTATTAAGATTTTTATTTATCAGGGCTGCAATAAATGTCAGCTGTTTCAGATTCCAATTGAATCTTATAATAAACAATTATAGCTGTTTTGTTTTTTTCGGTCAATACAATGATTTAGCCATCTTCGAAGTACAATATTCTCCTCGCCCTTCGGGCTCGGTGAATATTGTACACCTCAGATGGCTTTATCACTGTATTGACCGCAAAAAAAACCAGCAATAATTCTATAATATCACATTTATATCAAATCTTAAGAATAGTAAGTGAAACATTCAAAAATGTCGATTTCAGCAATGATGTGAAGGAGAATTTTTAAGCGGTTAGTTTAAATATATATATTTCTATCAACAGTGTGGAGAACCTCGAAGCAGAGGAAAATGTATAGAATGTGGCGAATCAGTTGGTGGAATAGGCTATGTATCCGATCAAGGAAACAGAAAATATAAAATGTTTGTTTATTTTACTACTTATTTACTCTTTGTGTTAACTATCTACGTAATAAATCTTTTATTGAGACATAAATGTATAATGCTACTTCGCCACTCAGTGTTACAATATCAAGATTGTAAATACACCTTTCCCCTTTATAGCTTAAGTCTGAAAATGGAATACATTTTTTTTATGTAGTGACAACACGTTTGGAACAGGACATATTTTGGGAAGAGCTTGTGATCGAAACGATGAAGGAATACCTGAACGTGATCTGAATTCGTCTGAATGTGCATTACTCAGGATTTTTACTCATTTATCAATGATGCTAGGCTGCAGGTTGCATGTTCAGGTAAAAAAAGTGTTTGAAATCTAAGTTTCTTAAAATGAAAAGTACTACGATTTTTTCAACATATATGAAATTGGATTATTGGAGAGCTTCTCTCCATTTCATTGTATTTTTAAATTACCACTTTTAGAAGAAAAAATCCATTTCGGCATGTTTACTGTAGTGATTGATAGATTGTTTATTGTTTAACGTCCCTCTTGAGAATTTTTCACTCATATGGAGACGTCACCGTATGCCGGTGAAGGGCTTCAAATTTAGACCTATACTCGGTACTCAGGGCCATTGAGCACTGAGGGTTCTTTATCGTGCCAGCGCCTACCGTGACACGGGACCTACGCTTTTAAGGTCATATCCAAAAGACCTGTGACTTTCACTTCTAGTGCATAGCGCTTGGCGAAGGAACAGTCACTACCTCTTTTTACGTCTTAGGTATTACGCGGCGCCGCAAATGAGAATCGAACTTGGGCCTTCCGATCACGAAGCAAACGCTCTACCACTAGGCTACCGTGACCGGTGTTTACTGTAGTGATGAAATTTTTTACAGATATAATGATGTCTTTTTTATAAAGCCTAATAAAGCCTTAAACTTGAACTAGATCTATAACATTGACAACCTGTTGAATTGTATCTGTTACTGGTAAGATGGGCCCTTTTACTTGTTATTCAACGCTATGTATAGAATTTTATACATGTAACTTTTTGATATTACATTGCGTTGAGACATGCTACATATAATGAGATACGAGGGTTGATCATAAAGTAATGTCACAACTTCGATGAAATTGATAAACCTCGGTCTTCCTGTCCTCTATCTGTCATGCAATGACCTTAACATATTTTTGAATGCTTTAATCAATATTTTACAGTCTTATTGAATTGAAAACGAAAAGATCACATCAAGCAGCAGTAATGCACAGTTATACATAAACGTTTTACAATCACAGGCATATCCTTACAAAGTCTCAATAGTTTAACTATATATATTAGCTTAACTTAAAACTATGATATTTTAGACATATGAAGCTATTTTCTCTACTATTTTGAAAAAAGTCTGGACAAGTTGTGTACTGTTGACTTTGTAATTTAACATTATTTCAATGTAATATTATGTTAATGCACGAATTTATTAAAAGATGGCTAAATTTATATAATCCCTGGGCATGGGGAAGTTCATCCTTTCACTTTTTTGGATAAGGATTCAGTCTTAAAGAAATCAGTCAATTTAATAGTGAAAATTATCCGTTTATCATTGAACTTTTTGTACATGTACATATTTTATTCTATTTTTAAAGTGCTGCTGATGTAAGTGGAGTCGCTTTAACTGAACTCTGCATATTCATGTAATAACTGTCATTAATGATCATATGGGCATCATTCTATATCTAAGTATTTTTTTAAGATCTGAAAATGGCTCAGAGATTCAAAAATAGTAATTTGAGTGAAGATATGGCAGAAAGAGAGAGAGAGAGAGAGAGAGAGAGAGAGAGAGGCTACTTGTTGTCAGATTGACAAACTGTTTAACTTACACACAGGACGTTGGTTCTCTGATGATACCTCCACTCCCTGAAGATGACAGAGTCGAGGATTTTCTGAAAATGCATATTGACAAAGATTTGAAAGTATTATGTAGAGTTTTTCAGCAAAATATGGATCTTATCTTCATGCTTCTTCACAGCATAACCCAGTCCTTTGCTACTGAATCTGAAGATGCAAATGGTAAGTTAAAGTATTGTTTGCACAATGAATTTACAGATGATGGAGACATATTTCTTATATCTCTCTTCCTTTCATTTTATGAAGAACCGAAAATAACCAAAAGCAAACATTCATATAAATAATCAGAATAAAAATGAAAGAACATCTGATACAATTAATGAGATAAGTATGAGAGAACACAGAGTGATGAAAATTACTGCGGACGATAGTATTGTTCTCCAGCCTCCCTCCAAGTCAATTTTCTAAAGTAAACATATTCGATGAATTTTTAGTATTTATACTGATAATTATTATATGGATTTTCATAAAACATTACTTATTTCGGAAAACAAAGAGAGTTGACTTTACAATTTTTGTAAAACTTGTGTTTTTCACTATAGAAATCAAGGAAAACGGAAGATATTTTTAAAACATCTCCCCCCCCCCCTGTCACAAAAAATCCTTTTTATAGACAATTTGGAATGTTATTTCACAAATTAATACCAAAGTTTTTTTGTGACACGGGAGGGGGGCATATGTTTATTGACAAAAAACGATAAAAATGCTTATTTCCCACCAATTTCAAAGCGATTTACAACTAAAACATTATGTTTATTCGATATATTTATGTTTTATTCATTTGCCAAAACATAATAAAAGATACGATATAAAGAACACTTAGTAATATCCAAGAATATTTTAAAACATGGTGATGCTAGGAACTCTGATTTCAATGGAAAAAATCGTCTTCCCCCTTTTCTCAAGGGCTTGAATTATAGATAATTTGCAGTTTAGCACTATTTTTTAGGCAATTCATCAATTACCATTGAACCGTTCTTTATATAAAACAAGATTTTATGGATAAATTGCTATTTATATATGAATTAAATGGTTTCAAAATGTAGATGTAAATCGAGAGTTAGAATGCGTATTTCTTCTTGTTTTTAGTTCATGGTCTTAGCTCGAAGAAATTTTAGGAGAAATCTTGACGATATTCAAAATCTATTTTTAAAAGAACATAAGGTCAAAGTGATAATCTCATATATAAATATAATTCAACTTTCAAAGGGAGTATTTTTTTTTCTTTTTACATAATGTTATATTTATCGTCTTTGTCGCATTCATGTTTTTGCGTATTCCATGACACTTGTACTATACTAAATCTTCACGATAAACCAAACTGAAGGTTTTTTGATACTTTGCTAAGATAACTTAAAATGACATGTCATTGAATGTTTTATATTCCTTTATAGATTTGACAGATGTTTTCATTTTACTTATAAAATATTTTTTCTTCAGAAAATCATAAAAGGATGATGTTACTTAACTGCTACATGTATCTGCGGCCCCTTTTTCCACGACGAATTATATTTAATCTACGACGATGTTTATAGTTTTCAAACATTGAATAATATCAAACTTTAGACACAGTTATATGGAATACTGCATTATCTTTGAATTTTAGACTTTTGCACAGCTAAATTCTGCCAGGTTTGTGAGAATATGTTCTTTATGGCAAGAGAATGGGCGGGTCTGAGTACAATAGAGGGATATGCGTGCCTGAGAAGACCTTTTATGGCTATTGTAATTAATTCACACATAGTCATTGTCCAATCCGATCACAGAACAACAAAACATGCTGATTTACAACGTTTACATATTATCACAGACATGTGGTTTGAGTCAATTGAACTGTTATAGTTTTCTACATTTCAAACCTTCATAATCGTCAGACAAAGCTGTTTATACTTTATAATACGCATGGATTTTCAGTATTTTCATTTTTATGACAAGAAATGCACATGAATTTGTATTCACTGATACTCGGGAATACGTGAAGACCTAGCGAATTGCTCACCAAACACGCTGCAAAACTTTAAATTAATATATATTTATCAATTGTTGGTAACGGTATATAAAATTTACTTTGATCTTGGAAATGGTACATATGTAGATCCGGCTCTAATTTTTTTACTCACATGCAGAAAAAAATTATCGGATAGCAGTAAAATTCCAAGCATATTTCCATAGTATTTTTGTGGAACGCACTCGTAACGATTTCATTTAGCTGATTGGTCAGTTAGAAAGCATCGCCAGTGCCTCAATTAGCATATGAATTTATTCTTACTACAGAAAATCTAATTCCGTCCATCTGTTCATAATGGGAAAGGCCAGCTAGATTTTGCATTTTTTTAAATGGCATGTGAGCGTAGCTAGGTACAAATTTCTCATTTCACATATAAGTAGATTTCAATAAAATAAAGTGACTAGCCAAAGGAGAAAATTGCACCTACCTGCGCTCGAATATTTTAAGGGCTTCAATTAAAGAGTTGTGCGGGGTTAAAATGTAATGGCAATTGGATGTAAACATGATACACCTACCCTAATAAAGAGCTATACCTTTCAAATTACGTTTCTATTTTTTGATACAAATAGTATTTTATAAAGGTAAACATATCAGTGATTAGGTACATACAGAAATTTGAGTAAAATTTAAACATTTAATTTTTTGTCAATTTACCGTGGGCCGCACGTCACCTCATCCTTAAGAAAGACATCTTTATGAATAAATAGAGGGTTTATGAACTTTAAATTACAACACATGAAGGGATTTTACTATGAAGCTGTACATTTATGCATTGTGATCCTACTGCTCTTTAAAGTTTAATGCTGGCCCTGCATTTGCTTGTTTGCAGTATTTCACATACATGTACATGCCATGGGGTTGTAATACCTCCTTATTATGAGGTAAGAGAAAGTTGATTCTACATATTCTAGGAAGTTTGTTTTATTCTCAGGCTCAGTTCTTCAACAATATCATTCATTTAAAATATTATGTAAATGCAGGATATTGTTAGAGCTAAATTATTTTTATGGGATTTTTGTAGAAAATCTGTTTTAATAGGCTTATCAAAATCTACCCATAATTTTCTTAGCGGAATCAAATTTTTAATCAAGGGCGTAATAAAAATTCTTTTCTTAATGGTCTAGTAATATTTACAGTATGCATATGTGAAAGAAATATGCGAGCCCTGTTTCTTCTGATTCAAAAGTGACAATCAAAGACAATATTGTTGAACAAAAGATCAAACCTTTAGGTCATGGTCATAAAGTCAAGAGAAATTTGTAGAGGTTTTGCCACAGGTTTTACACAAGTAAATTATAAAAGTCCTGTCTTCTCTAAAAGAAAATATAATAACTTAATATTTTTAAAAGTAAATCTTTCAAGGTCAATTTCACGGTTTAGAAATCACACTGCACTTTTAAAGTTTTTTTTTCTCAGATACCGCAAATGTGAACTCTAAAGGCACTACATGTATATTTACCCTTCTTCAAAAGTTATGGTACATATAAAATAACAACGCCATATCATATTCAACAGTTATTCAAAAAATCGTTGACTACATATTTTTAAAAATTCCTTTATTTAGAAATATGACTTGAAATAATTCTTTTTCTACAAATATTCTTTAACATATTAATTACTTGATTTCTGCTCATCAATGATTTGTACATTTAAGTGGGATCAAAGATGAGGTCTTATCGTTGAATTGTTAAATATGGATCGCATAACTGTTTATCCCTTAAATTATTTAGTGAAGTTACTAAATATGATTGAATTTTATATAGAAAATAAAGAGCAATTCTTCAACAGTATAAAGTCATGATTAGTGCAGGGAATATGAAGGCATCCTCGGGAAGTGTAAATGCAAGTCTATTTTATTCTTTTCCTTAGCCAAATTCTGAGGTGAGCAATATGGCACATGGGCCTCTTGTCATCATTTCGAATTTTCAAAGGCAACTGGCTCAATTTTCCAAAGGTTTGATCAAAGTATCCATTTTAATTTATTTAAAAAAAATAAATCTTATTTCTCTCAAATACATCTAGAAAATAATCAAGGAAGACTCATTTTGTATAGAAGAAACATCAATGAATTAGATTACACCAAAAAAATTGAATTATAATTAAATGCACTAATGTTGAAAAAATATTTTCAAAATCATTGGTATCAAAGTTCCTTTTTGGAGTTATCTTTCCTGTTGCCCGGGACTCAAAAACTTTGACAAGTCTCTGCAATAGTTAGATAAACTATTAGACATGTAAAAGAGAAATACTAGAAACGCACACTATTTTAATAATATCCCTAAACACAATGAGATGATTATTATTGAAACGGACAAATAAGTGTGCAAAAATATCAACTTACAACACAGACTCTGTTGACGATGTCAGTGAGTTGATAAGCATGAAAGTATAAATAACCTCAAAGTTCCCGTCATACGAGCATTCGTTGTATACGTATTATGTAACATGAACCAAGTCATTTATAGAATCAAAGTACTGACAAGCGGTTAGCATGCTTTCATTAAATATGCTCAGTGTACATTTACAAAAAGAACATTGAATCATGATATTAAAGTAGGCATGCATATTTTTTTTTCCAGTGTCATCAGCGAAGAAGCAGAAACACTGAATTTTGTAGTCCTTAACTAAATGGTATAATCAATAACATCCCAGACTGATGTCACAAATGTTTGAATCAAAATATCAACCTGAGATTTTCAGTTTGACAGACAGGAAGTTCAATTTCAAAAATTTTTCCCTAATTGTCTCCATTGGTGGCGTCCAAAAGTACTCAGAAAGAAATAAAATATGTTGATGTTGCAAATTTAATTGGCTTTCATGCTCTATTGATTCTGAAATTAGGTAACTGTAAAGGCTACTATAGCAAACAACTCAAAAATAAAATAAAATGATAATTCAAATTCTTTAGATAAATTGATTTGGAGTACTGTACATAGATCTTAAGCTGGCTAGTCTGAGAAAAACGGATGGACGAGCAGAGAATTAGTTACTTTCAGAGAGCTTCAGTTTTGTAGGCTCACTGCGGGTCAGCAGGTGTGACCTGTCATTGGGGATGCTTACTTCTCCTAGGCACCGGGACTTTCAAGGATCCGTTTTTCTTTCGAGACCGATCACTGTTCATTCTGTATTTTGATACAGATACTGAGTACATTTGTTTATTAATATTATGAACTATTTCTCTCACAGAAAGAAAGACAAGTAAACAAGATAATAAAGTTTTAAGAAATGTACATTATTGACTTTTCATACAATTAAATGTTCGAATAAGTAAATGGTATATGACAATTATTTAAAAAAAGAGTCTTGCACGATATGTATAAACGAACATATATTGAGTATTTGGCAAATATTTTTCATGAAATATTGTAAATAAAAAAAAGAAGAAGAAGAAGAAAAAAAAACGTGTGAAAAGGAAAATTGTTGTTTAATTCATCAATACCAGTATTTCAAAAATTCAAAGATTTACTAAAAGTCAGTGTTTAACAAACAATTTAATTGTCCATTGCAAGAATTACCTTGGTATCACTTTCACTTACTTCAATATGTCGCATAAGCAATACATTGTTTTTTGTTTTGTTTTGTTTTGTTTAGCTCACCTGAGCCAAAGGCTCAAGTGAGCTTTTCTGATCAAAATTTGTCCGTTGTCTGTCGTTGTCGTCGTCGTCGGCGTTGTCGTTGTAAACTTTTCCCATTTTCATCTTTTTCTCAAGAACCACTGGACCAATTTCAACCAAACTTGCTACAAGGTATCCTTGGGTAAAGGGGATTCAAGTTTGTTCAAATGAAGGCCCGAAACCTTTTCCAAGGGGAGATAATTATGAATTAGAGAAAAATTTATGACATTTTTAAAAATCTTCTTCTCAAGAACCATTGGGCCACGAAAGATGAAACTCCTGTGGAATCATCCTCAGGTAGTGTAGATTTTATGTTTGTTCAAATCATGACCCCCGGGGGAAGGGTGGGCCCAAAATGGCTGATCAAAGTTTTACATAGGAATATATAGGAAAAATCTTTAAAAATCTTCTTCTCAAGAACCACTGGGCCAGGTAAGATGAAACTCGTGTGGAATCATCCTCAGGTAGTGTAGATTCAAGTTTGTTCAAATCATGAACCGGAAGGGGGGGGGGGGGGTAGGGCCAAAATTGCCAATCAGTTTTCTACCCTTTACAAATTATGGTAACGTAAAAGTTTGAAATTTTTGTAAACGTGGGTCAAACTCCAAGGTCAAGTTCAAAGGGTCAAGGTTCTCGACATCAAATGAAATGTCTTGTCACAAGAATTTGATATGTGAAGTAGGAAGGCCCTAGTCCTAATTCATCAAAAATTATGGTCACGATTGTATGTATGAAGTAGGTCAAACTCCAAACTCAAGGTCAATTGGTCAAGTTTCTTGTTATCAAATGAAGGGACATTTCACAAGGATTACATATGTGAACAATTTTTTTCATAAGAACAAAAGTACAAGGTTGTTTGTATGCTATGAAAGGTCCTTTCACAAAAAAAATAAATATATTAAGTATAAATGCCCTGGTATCTACTGTTCAAAAGAAATGGCCAAAGTAGAAAATTTTGTGTAAAATGGGTCAAACTCTAAGGTCAAAGTCAAAAGGTCAAATTCGGTGGTACCCAAAGAAAGGTATTTTTACAAGGAATACACATGTGGAATATTTAATTTAAACATTATTTTATTATGACTTAATAGGATCAGACAGCAGGCAATGCCTACATGTATAATACTATATACGTCCTCTCAATGACCTCTCCACATGTGAAATATGAATGTCATAGCTCTATTAAATCAAACGTTATGGGCAAGGTTGATGTTTATGCAGACAGACAGACAGACAGAGAGACTGACAGCTAGACACGACAAAAACCATATACCCCCGAAACTTTGTTTACAGGGACATAAAAACAATCCTTTTATACTATTAAGGAAATGATTTTTTCACAGATGACACCTGTTCCTTTGAATTGACGACAAGGAATGCACGGAAAAAATGGGAAGCAAAATTTGCAGAGCAGTTTTTCAAAGAGAAGCTTAAGGTATGAAGAAAATAATCGAATTTTATCCTGACGTAAACGAGATCAGCATTTTTATCACTTGAATTAGCGCGCCCACCATAACACACTAACACACCCTTACATACACAAACCCAAACACCCACAAACACCGGTTTGAAAATATACGTTAAATCGAATACATTTTTCTGTATTAGGAGCAGAGAAATTTCTTCAAGAACTGCTTCCATACTCTTGAAAATGACCAGTGGATAAGTAGGTTTAAGAAAATAATAATTCATTGTATATTGTTTAGATTAAATTCATTTGAATTTTTATGACATAACTAAATCAATTTTACAACTTTTGTTTGGTTTCAGAATGCTTATTGAAGGAAGAGATTTCCAATGCTTCAGACATAGAAGTGTTTCCATCAGTTTTCAAATCTTCGACTTTTGTTTGGCAGTTTAAGAGAATAGTATCATACGAGCACTTTGTTCAGGAGTTCAACACTTTGGGAAATCAAAATAAAACGGAGAAATTCCCAGTTCTAAAACAAATCATTGAAGAGGTATTGAACGTTCAAAATAACAATGAGTTTCATTCAATTTCAAAATTATATATATATATATACAGTGTGGTGCCATAAGTGTTTCACGTTATCATGACGTCAACCTTGCTTTAGTACTAAAATTCAATGTTACAAAAAATCCACTTACCTTACTATTGTTGATTACATACTTCTGATTTTTTTAATTTTTGGTGGCATGACCTTTAGCTTTAATTACAGCATTTAGTCTGTCTGGTAAGGTTTCGTATAAACCCTGTATATACACTGGGGTGAGGGACGTCCAGATCTGCAGCACACAGTCAACAAGTTCTTGTCTTGTTTTGATGTTATCTTGCTCCCTTGAAAGTTTAATTTTAATTGATCTCCATACATTTTGTATGAGATTTAGGTCTGGTGATTGAGATGGCCACTCTAAACAAGGGATATTATTTTGTTGTTTCCATTCTACAGCCCTAGCTGACATGTGGGCAGGACAGTTATCGTCTTGAAATATCCAGGGGTTGTTACTAAAATGTTTGGCTACAACTTGCCACAAATTATTATCTAGAAGGGTGATGTACTTATCTGTGTTTAAATTTCCATCTATTGCTGTAAGTAAGCCCACTCCTGAATAGCAGATACAGCCCCAAAACGAAACAGATAGGCGGACTCCACCATTACGGACCGAACGTATTCCGAGGCACTCCGGTCTCCATTTTTCATCGGCCTTTCTCCATACATAAACTTTTCTGTCCGTTCCCAACATGACTTGAGTTTCATCAGAAAATATTACTTGTTTCCAGTTTTGATCCACGGACCACTGTTTGTGATCTCGACACCATTCAACACGCTTTTGTCTGTTCACATTCGAGATGGTAAGAGTCCTGGCAACTTTCCGACGATTATAATTCAAAAAATGCTATCTGCGCTGAACTGATCGCTTTGACAGTGGATTTGGTATAGATCTATTAAATTCTGATGTTAAATCACTCAAACTTTTCCTACGATCTTTCAAAACCAACCTGTTCAAGACGCGATCTGACTGATCAGTCGTGTACTTTGGTCGTCCGCTTCGGGGGTTATTCGTGACACTTTGCCGCACAGAAAATCTCTTCAAAAACTTTGAGATTGTGGAGCGGTCATATCCTGTAATTTTGGCAATTTCAGATTTGTTTCTGCCTTCGTCATTTAGACGCACGATCTGTTCTTTTAGAGCTGAAGACATTTCACGACGATTTGCAGCCATGTTTGTTTACGCCTGCTAGGATATCTAAAAATAGCCCCACGCGCAGCAGGGGAATCCCGAATGACGTACATAACTTCTATTTTCTTATATCCAAAAATAATTATAGAACGATGTATAATATTATAGAAAACAGAGACTAAGGTTGAAAGATAGTTTTAATTTTTCTTCAGTAATGTGTAACCGTGAAACACTTATGGCACCACACTGTATATATATATATATATATATATATATATATATATATATATATATATATATATATATATATATATATATATATATATATATATATATATATATCTCTCTCTCTCTCTCTCTCTCTCTATATATATATATATATATATATATATATATATATATATATAAAGAGGAAGATATATATATATATATATATATATATATATATATATATATATATATATATATATATATATATATATATATATATATATATATATATATATATATATATATATATATATATATATATATATATATATATATATATATATATATATATATATATATATATATATATATATATATATATATATATATATATATATATATATATATATATATATATATATATATATATATATATATATATATATATATATATATATATATATATATATATATATATATATATATATATATATATATATATATATATATATATATATATATATATGCCTATATATATATATATAGAAATGAAGGTTTTCTTTCGTTTCAGTAAATTTCGTTTCATGTCGTTAAGTTTCATTTCGTTTTGGTAGAAATCGTTTAGTTTCAACTCGTTTCGTTTCTTTTTTGTAAAAAGCTTAATTTAGACACTTGATAGAGCTGCTAGGTAATAGGTGTCTCTATTTTATGTATTTCAATCTATAGTATTATAAATTTTTGTCTTTAACACAGAGAGAAAATCATATTTGTAACATAATTTTAACATGACAATTTTTTTTTATCTTTTATGAAGATATCTTCACATTTTTTTTACATTATTAATTGATTTAAGAAATGAATGTATTTATTTCTTTTCCGATGACCGATGTATAAAAGAAAATCATTGAACGGAAAACTTCATCAATGCGCGTACATGTAGTAGCGTATTGATGAAAAGGTTTTCCGTCCAATTTTTTTCTTTGATGCATCGATCATCGGAAAAGAAATATTACGTTTATTTCATATTACTTTAACACAGTAAACATACGTGTTGTGTTATTCCAATAGGTATATTTTCCCAAGTAAGTTTTCTAAGTTCGTAAGTGTAAAGAAATTAAGTAATATAAATGAGTAAAACTATATAGTTGTATGTTAACTTTAGGTTACGAGTGTATGTTGCATTAAGTTTGTTATTCCTATATTTGAACTCATATTATTATTATTATTATTATTATTATTATTATTATTATTATTATTATTTTCTCATTAGGCTGGAGTTTTGCAATTAATAAGGCATTTGCCGAAAATTCTTGATATGCAAAACATCTTTAAGAGAAGGTTAAATAGACAGAAAACTCGAGAGGAATTGAACACTTTGACCATTCGTAGTTGTCTACTGGAATTTGAAAAAGGTATTTAGACATAAAGTATGCTACATGTTGAAAGGTCATCATAATAAGTGTATTAGACTCGATGACTTATATTCTTCCTTTTTTATTTTTTGTTCTCAGATCATTTTTATGTGTAAACATTTTGTGATTGTCCACTGTAAGATAGTATACTGCATACATAAAAATGACTAATATATCTTTACGCAGTAAAGTTAAGAATTCCCACAGTTTTAAATGCGTTCAAATCAAAACACTGCATTACGAGGTTGGTTTTTTATTTTGTAAATCGTATAAATAAGTATGGCCAATTTATGTAAATATGTTTCTTATTTATATAAAAAAAAATATATGAATCACATGACGTTGCTGATAATGTGACGGTCATTTATAATTTTTGAAGTATTATACATTAGTCTCTTCGGCGCAAGTGCCGAACAAGTGTGTTAAAATTTATCCTTAAACTTTCATTTTTCTTTAATTATACCATGGATTAACTCCCTGTGTATATTTTATGAATTGTTTAGAATTTTAATTAAGATAATTTAATTAATGTACCTTTGTAGAACTCTACATGAAATGTTATTCCAAAATAATGGCAGGAAATGTATACTAGTTGGCATGAGAGTGAATATACTATGTTTACAATGCGAAATTTCTAATTTATTCGAATATTTCGAATAATCCGATCAAATATTCAAATATCAGTTATTGACAGTTTGACATGGACTCTAGTTAAAAGAATTTATATTTATAAAACAATACAAAATCAATAGATATTTTCAATTGGCAGTCAATTGCGTTTGTAAATTTACATAGGTACGTTAAAGAATATCTCTTTGTATTATGCGACCTTCCTTACAAATCACTGCAATTGTGAGCTGTAAAGATGGTTAGATTACTTATAAGCTTATAATTTTACACTTTATTTCATAAAGTATCAGATAGCTAGTGTAAAGTTAACGTTTTTTATTTTTTTTTTAATCCAATACATCATAATACCTAAGATATCTTGCTTCATAACCCTTGTTTAAATGTCAGTGTGTTCAAATACATACAAAAATATTCATACACATTTGCCCGTTTTTACCCGTGGAATTTATAATAAGTGTATTGAAGAGTCTGATGCAAGTGATTAATGAATGTTAATTTGAGATCTTTAAAGGTAATCTGTCATAGGACTTTCCCCTCTAACTGAATCTTGCTTGCAAAAAAAAAATATGTAACGATATTTAATGGAAAATACATTCATAATTGTCGATATAAGTTAAATTTTCTGTACAATATGTTGAACCAGAGTAATATAGAACAAAGATTATTTAGAGAACGAGACAGATTCTGTATCGTAGATACAAATTTGGGGGCGGGCGAGTGCGCAAGCACGATACAGAACCTGTTCTCTAGTTCTCTAAATGATTTGTGACACGATCAATAAAAAAAGCTCCGCCCACTATATAACTTTGCAGCATCCAAACTTCCGCCAGAGTTCTGTAGACGAGGCCCCGACGGGGAGTTCGCATCCGCAGTATATATATTTCCACGGAAAACGTAAAAGTCAGTCAGATTAGTTTTGACAATTTAACGGGGTAGACGAAATTGAGTGATAGTAAGTCTTAATGAATAAAGTGGAGGATTAACCGTAATTGTTGTGATCTATAAATGGAGATTGATTACACTATTTTCAGGGGTCTAACCTTAAAATCTTGGTTTGACTAGATTTACAAAATCAGGATTTACAGAAAATTCTTCGTTGGACTTTGATATCACAGATTTTTTATTTTCTTGCGAGATTGCGACATTAAAAACGAAGTGAAAGAGATCGACGTGTGGCTGTCGTAAAGCCTAAGTCACACTGTCACGGCAATAGACACGCAATGCAACGGTTCACCCCGATTTTATAAAACATAAGAAATCGTGATGCTAATACGACTTCTTGGCGCGAAAAATAAAAAAAGGTTGTTTCAAGATTATTGAACAGTTCAATCAGGTTTGGACACGGTTACATAAAGGAACATGCTATTCATGCCACGGACACTGTAACGGGCAACCACGGTATCCCGTAGTGATACCTTATAATGCGACGGCCTCACTAGTGATTGTTAAGCTACGGTTACGGCCAATCAAGTTAATGCTACAACGCCCTACGGCTCTTGTACGAGAATGCCTCGAATGAAGAAGATTTTTCAAGACGTGTTACGTCTAAACAAGTAAAAGACATTTGGAAAAATGTAATCGTCATTAAGTTCTCTGTACATGGACGCCAGCAATAACATTGTTCAAAAATACCGATATAAAGAATCATTGAGAAATCAAATGTTACTGTTTCATTTATTATTTTAAAATACAAGTGGCTCGTTCTTATCTTTTTAATCCTTATTGAACTTGACTTACGAGTATTTTCAGATAACTGTTATGTATGAGAAATACATGCAGATGTGTTTAAAGCCATGGTTATTTATTCAATATTTCTAGATCTATTCTTTATTAATATTACAGTATATTCACTTTTACAATAAAAATCAACGTGCTTTCATTCAATATTTTTTTTATGATTTATTCAAATTTCATTACGTTGTCAAGACACTCTTCCTGTAAGTGAGTTTGATAGCTAAAGTCCTGATATATACTCGGTTTAGATTTAATGGCGGCCAATAGGAAGGGTGTTACTACTTCTAAGTATCATTTGCCTAAGCCAAAATTTGGTAATCGCTCAAGAATCTAGAAATGATGTTAGGAATGAAAGATATATAGATGATGAACAGTTTTCAATCTCAAAAGTCCATTCAAACATACAAAACCGGGAGAAAAGCAAACACGGACCACTAAAACATCAGATGTGGGATCAGGTACCATGGTCGAGGAACAGCGACCGGTCACATCCGCCGTGTGCTACTTGATTTGATCGGGAAATAACGGAAAAGGCAATAAGGTCATCTGAAAGTACAAAGTGAGACCTTTTTGTTTTCATTAATCAGCTGGAATTGAACGTGTTGCTGGTAATCCTTCCCAATACTTTCATAGAAACTGCTTCATGTTTGTCATCAATCAAAGCGCAACGAAACAATGCATATGGTTTGAAAGCCATCAGTAAGGTTACACCAGTTTTAACTCATACCCAAACTGTTCTCTACTTTCTTTTCCTTTTTCCGTCTTACCTGGTATAAAAAAGGGTCACAACAATGTAGTTCTGTGCTTTCTGTCTGTTCAACTATGGGTGCAGATTTAGAAGCCGAATCCTGTGCTCATGGTCATGTGTACAGCTATGGACAACAGATAACAATGACAAGCAAAAATTGTGACAAAAATATTTAATAAAAAATTGAAAGATCATTAGCTATCGTATCAAACCGTAAAATTGCCGTTAAAACACTGGTATGACGTCAAAACCCTTACTGCTGCCGTAATTTCAACGAACGAAAAAGCGGTTCGCCGCTATTATTTGCGAGTTTCTGTATTGTTTCCTTGTCGCTTTCCTACTACATCCGAGACAAAATTTACGGTTAGATACGGATTATCTTGTATAATCGTATATTTTCCCTACTGCAGTCGTCGAAGTCCTTGGGTAAGCGTAGACTTACGTATCACGGATACATCACGAAAGTATATACGGTGGTCCCACGGTAATGGTAGGCACACAGTACGGGGTAACTACGATATACAAGAAATGAAGTTGCGACGCGGTTTTCCACGACTGTTTTGAACAGTTCAAAACAGTCGTAGCAATTTACGGATCGTTCAGGTGTAATCCGAGTTAACAGGGCTCACCACGGAAATAATAACGAACTGACTGCGGATGTCTAAGAATTTTCACGGATCCCTAAAACGTAGCTTACCGTGATCTAAAATTTTGACAGTGTGACTGGGGCTTAAGCGAGAAGCATTTTTAAAAATAAAAACGCGAAAAATGGACTTGAATGATTTTGCACGTTGAGAGTATGTTTTCCGCTATTGCGAATTTTCTTTTCGTTTGGATCAAAATTACTAGTAGATTATGTTTTCCGTTACTGTGAATTTTCGTTTTCCTTTGGATCTACATTACGTATAGATTCTGTGTGGAATAAGTGTTTATTGACATTTTACATTTTCAGGATTAATACCGGGTATTTCTCTAAAATTTATAATAGGAAAACATCATCATTTTACTATTTGTAGGCGCATTTGCTAAGTTGAATCACATTTATTTTTAGACCGTGCTGTATTTTAGATACGGAATAGTTGGCAAATAAAGTACGGTATACTGTGCGAATACAGAACGGAAAGTAGCTCCGCCCACCAAAGTGCCGTTCTGTATTGCTAATACAGAACAGTAAACTTTAAAGAAAAACACCGCTTTCGTGTCACAACTGTTCTTAAGCGCATGACGAATTCCAAAGGATGCAACGAGTTTATTTCAATGATAATACTTTAATAATGATTGTACTAATAAGCTCCGTCGAAGCAATTTATGTAAAACTACGTGTATAAATGACCGTCACTTGATCAATGATGACATGCGATTTGGTTACAGATATATTTTATATAGCTTTAGTTAACTCTTTACAAAAATTGGCCGTACTTAAGTGCATAACATACAAATAGAAATCAAAATTGACCGTGCAATGCAGTGTTATTTCTAAATGTATATAAAGCTTCGGGAAGCCTTTACGAGGCAGTTGCCAGAGGAATGAAAGAACAAACAGTAAAAGATTGAAGTACACCTGATGGAGTCAACACACGCAGAATTTTGTGTTTATTCAATTGAAACTGATCAGTTTTAACTATGTGTTGATGTACGTCTAGTAATAACCTAAGGACAATATGATCTGAGCTTGAAACAGCTGTTATTTCAGGAATAGTTAATGATTTTTTTGGTTTAACATTTGACTTATAGATCCTGCAATCGATATCATTAATGAAGGAATTTCTGCATTCGTGGAAGCATGGCAATCCATTTGGTCTTTTCTGACATTTGAGAAAGATATTCACAAAAAGGAAATAGATATTGAGAAAGATAAAATAAGTCTCTTGGTTTGCGGGGAGGAAGAATTTGGCTTTTCCGTAATTGGCATAATTTTGAGATTTCTGAGTGGGCGACAGAATGTATTCCTTCAAAAGTGCAGAAAATGGTAAATACTCTTTTATCACTTAGGCATTCTTTTAACAGGAAATGCATTCATCTTTTAATAAAAATTAAGAATTTAATACATTACTTTAATAAAAATATCAGTAATAGCCAATACTTTTAACAAAATGTTATTGTTAATTAATTGGAAACCACACGATGTTAATGATAGCTCATTATTTCATCATTATTGTTATTAATATTAAGGATAAGAAACACACTTAATCAGCTTAAAGGAATCAATGTGCAAAGAAGAAGGTATGGTTTTAGCTTAATTGCGCTCTAAAAATGTAATGACATCAAAAAGATATGAAACCGGCTTAGATATCAGTTAAATAAATGACTTTGATAAATCAGGAGAGCATAAGGCATGAAGGTTTAACATTCTGCAAATATGATGTCATTAATGTGAAGCACTTCTCTAATTTCAACAGAAAAGAACTCGAAATTGCACATTTCAAGGGTGATTTTCCTTTCGAAAACATTGTCCACAGCCTTCGCCCACTTTAATTTTTTGATATTTTGTGCAAAATTCAATAGCAAATCACATATCTCAAGATCTTGGTGGGCGATTCCTGTGGACAATGTTACATGTGGACAATATTACATGTATCTGAAAGAAAATTCCATTAAAAATTGGTGTCTTCTGCAACTTTTAAAGAAAATACGGGAAAATGCACATGTTTACGACGTCATAATTAGCATTTAAAAAAACACATGTGAGAAAAATGACTCGTGTGCTTTTTTCTGCATTGAATTTCAATTATTTAAAAAGCGTGAGTTTTCAACTTTTACACCAGTTTCAAGCAAGGAAAAGGGGAAAATTTGCACGGAAACCATACCTATTTCTTAGTCTTTATGTTTTTCACTATAGTGAATAAAATGTCAAATTTTTCACAATTATCTATAGTTATATTTAATTAACAGGGGGAGGGGGTTGAGGCTATAAATAAGATACTACAATGTTATAGAACATGAATAACACGCAGCGTTTTTTTTTCAGCATATTTCAGCATTTTAAATGTATTCCGAATTGACCCTTTGTTATCACTTACATAGAGTTGTATTCTAAACAGTTTTTACAGCATAAGTGGTAACGAGGTGTCATGTTATGTGAGGATGGTTTGTTTGCTTTCCCTAGATTAATATTAAGGCTTGCTAAAGATTTAAAGTTCATGGGTGAACTTAGCGTGCAGAAAGCCCACTAGATTCAGATATAAAAGAAAATTATATGTGAATTTAGTATTTAGAGTAAAGTTCTCGTCATTGATTTTTATTAAATCATGAGAAACAAAAAGTTTTTAGGAAAATTTTTCGTTAAAATTTATTCTTTTATATACAAAAAAATAATAATGTGGTATCCTTTGGGTTAGAACCCTGGCAATAAAAATCCTGAATTGCATTCTCTTTTGAGAATGCTTACATTCACCATGAGCCATGTAGCATAGTGAATAGCGAGTTGGTCTCAAAGCAGTGTTATACTTTTTCTTGCTAGGGCTTCGAATCCCTCAAATACCATTTATTAAAGAAAAGAAAAAAATTAAAATGTTTTGTTTCTCTCAGAGAAGGTTTTTTTACTACTAATTTCTTAAATTTCAATGATAAGAAGTTAATTATTTGAATACTGAATTGACAACTTGGTATTAATATCTGACGTAACAGGCATTCTGTCCGAGCTTTCCCACATCCCCTTCGAAGTTCGATGATTTCATTGTAATAATGAATAAGCACTTTTTAAATTAAATAGAATGAATTTGCACATTTTTTTCTTATTTTCCTATTTTGTCTGAAAAATATCATATAAAAACGACATTTATTTTTAGGCTTTATTTGTCTCCTGATGTAACATTGGATAAAATAAATCAATCCAGTGTGATATGCTACGATAAGGATACCGTGATGCTTCCAATTTTACTTGCTAACTGCAACTACACTTACGCTGTTGATAAGGGACTTACAATGGAATTCGATTTTGAAGGCATACAAGATACCATAATAGATCAAATTCTGTTTGGAAAAGCAAATATTTTGCTTCAAGATGTACGTTTTTAAGCTTGCATATCAGTTTACTAAAAATTAGAGAACTTAATAAATTACCTTTTGCGTGAATTTCATACAATTTAGTAAACGCTGGATTAAATTATGTCACATTTAAACATATACGTGTATATGATCCGTTTTTGTTTGATATTTTAGTGGCCATACATAGTTTACAGGGCAGATGCATCATATTCTACAAAATTTTCATCCTTGCATGCAAAGATTCCTCAGGTTTGGTTGTAATTTATTTTCATAAATTAAAACAGTTCCTTATTTTAATTCTAATTAATGTTCTAAATATGTCCTCGTGTCTTCTATTTATACAGGAACCTATTCCAATAAAAGTACAAGCTCAGATAATTCGCGATTTTCCGGATTTACCAGATATTTACGACGCAATTGATAGGCTGGAAATAATTGTTGACTTTTTGCTTGCTGTAAATGAGGACAAGGAGAAAGATCTCTTACAGTTTATGGAGAAGTCAATAAAGATGAAAACCTTTTCTAGCGCAACGGTAACTGCTTTTAATGTTGATAACATTACAGCAATAACTTCGTGACAAAAACGAGTAATTTTGTAAAAATTGTATTATTTTCCTTACAGATCAAAATTTGATCTATACATTTATCTTCTTTACGTTCAGTCTATTTTTTCAATTCTATTTCACGTATTCTTGGTTTGAAAATATCAAGTACTAGTTATCTTGAAAACTTTTGAAACTAAATTTTGAATGGGTACCGTATTACGATTACCCTCTGGATAGTACATTAGATTTGTATTTTACATTTGATCAGAAAATATCCTTCATTTTCTAATTGTGCATATACCATATCTAAATTTCACTGTATTATAGTTTATATAATATCAACAGAGTTTATAATTATATTGTAGGTTTTTAAAACAAAACAAAGATAGAAATGTTCATATTAAGATTTTTTTCTTCCTCCATTTTCAATATCCTTTTTAAACCGGACGTAGTTTTACCATTTATTTATGTCATATATTAATTTAGATGGAAATAGTAAACGTACCGCAAGGTTTGTTTGGGAGTGTAATATAAATATTACATACAATCAAAAGATTTTTTTCAGTAAACACAGTCAAAATTAAAGAACCCAAATTTTAAATTAATTGATAATTCATTGATGGCGTCTGTAACATAGTGGAGAAAAATGTCCGAGGCATATTGCTGATCTTTACGATAATCGAAGTAGAATATGACAATTGAGTCATTTAGGTTTTTTTGACATTGAAAAGAATCCAACAAATTATATTTTAACAAACACCAAATATTGTACAATGTAAATTAAATGACTTCATCGAGATCTTATCTAATTATTATGCTGTGTGTGAAGGCAGCAATTGAATCTAATTACTGCATATACAATACTTGAAACACCAAAATAAAACCCCAAAATTAATTTCAAAACGCAGCGTAAAGACCCTTGCAACATATAAAGATTTCATCGATGCTTTCATAAGCAAATGTAAAAAAATAAACATAGCAATTTACAATGAGAAAAAACAATTGTTAATTGATTTAAAGTATAAAACCATACGAGAATTAAATAGTTTTTTCATATAAAGACAAAAAATATGACAGTGTCATTATATTATAATTTGTTTTCATAGAATGTATAAATCTCTCACCAAAGTGTTGTCCGCTCCAACACACCTGTTATTGTCTAAATAACAAGAATCTTGTAAAACAACAGAAAATTACATATTCTTGCCAAGTTGCTGTTATAATAAGAATGAAACTTGAAATAGTAAACGAAAGAACTCTTTTTTCAAAAGCTTGATATAAATATTAAAATGACTTCAATATTTGTAAGTATTTTGTTTTGATTTTTCACACTCTATTTCATATTGAATCAACAAGGATAGAAAATATTTCGATCAGAGAGCTTAAAGAGCGTTATTTCGTTATTTTATAAAAACAATCAACCTTAAAATTCTTCTTTTGCACTGAGACCGCGAATTATATTTTAGATGCTAACAGAGGGTAAGTTAAGCTTGCGGAGTATGCTATCTGGTGAAAAATTGTCAATGTATATATATTAGCTGTTCCTAATATATATTCAAATAAAAAAAATATATATTGCAAGAGTATTGCAAGAGTATTTTACATGCAGTAACTAAAACGAAAGAATTTTGACACGGTAAATTTATATAGTACTGTGGAATCACAAATTTTCGTGGGGGGGGGTTAATTTTCGTTGTTTTCGTGGTATGACAAGACCCACGAATTCATGTCCACAACGAAATGTAAAATTTCACACACATAAGTACTCATTAATTCTTGATCCACGAAATCAAATCCCCACGAACCAAGAAATTTTCCTCAAACCACGAAAATTTGACCCCACGAAAATATGTGATTTTACAGTATATATTTGATCAAATTGTTTTTTTTCCTATGGAAGACCTAAAACAAAACAGAAAACAAATCGTAAAATAGAAACAATACGACACTCACATGATAACACCAGAGGTAGCTAAGAAGATTAAACTGAATTCCCTGTCACCTTATCAAACATTATTTATTGCACGGGAATTTACATTTAACTTTTTTCAGAAGAAAGATATGGAAATAACGAACAGTATTCAATCTCAACGTCCATTAAACAAATATACAAAATAAGAGCAGAGCAAACACGGACCTCCGAAACATCAGAGGTGGGATCAGGTGCCATGGAGGAGTGAGCATCCCCTGCCGACCGGTCACACAGAAATAAAGCATAATTTCTCAAAATGATATCATTTGTTTTGAATTTCTAGGTCACCTTAGTAAACTCAGGTGACCTATTGCTATCCGTTTTCGACCGTCGTCGTGCATTAACATTTGAGCATTTATAGCTTCTTCACTTAAACAACTGAACCAATTTCAATTTGGCATATAGTATCTAGCATTTATGGATGAAGGGAACAAAAATTGTGAATTTCATGGTCCCTGCCCCCAGAAGCCTGGGGGGGAGAATGCAAAAACCACTAAAATGAGTGCACTCTTTTAAAATCATCATTACTCCTGGACTTCAAGCTGTCAAACTGTTGATTGTAATCAGCATCAGCATTATGTGAAATTCATGGCCCCAGGGTCAGGGGTTTTAATGCTAGGATTGCGCTCTTTTGGTCATATAGTGAAAATGCATTATTTCTTTTCTGCTCATGGGCATTGAATAAATTAACCAAGTGATGGTTGAGTTGAAAATGACTGTCTCTTCCAAAATTGCGAATTTCATGGCAGGGGTTCTAGGGAGGGGCTTCGTAGATTATATGGTAAAAAATGAATTATCATTTGAAATCTTCTTCTCTGCTCCTACCGTTCACGGTAGCTCAGTCGGTAGAGCGCTCGCTCCATGATCGGAAGGTCGTGGGTTCGTATCTCAGCTGTGACTAACCTAGTCGATAAAATGGGTAGCAACTGATCCTTTGCCATGCGCTTGGCACTTTTAAGTGAAAGTTGCGGGTCTTTCAGATGAGACCTTAAAAATCAAGGCCCCGTGTTAGCCATAAAGAAACCTCACTGCTCAATGGCCCTGAGTACCGAGTAAAGGTCAAATTTTGAAGCCCTTCACCGGCATACGGTGACGTCTCCGTATGAGTGAAAAATTTTCTAGAGGGACGTTAAACAATATACAATCAATCAATCCTCTCTGCTCCTCAGTATTAAATTAACTTACCCTGAACATATGTTGAATAAGGCTGCCTCTTCCAAAATTGTGAATTTCATGGCCAATGGGTTGGGGTTCTGGTGTTAGGGTGGGGCTTTATTGATTATGTAGGGAAAATACATAAATTCTTAAAAAAATCTTCTTTTCTGCACCTGGGTATTTAAGCAATGAATTATGTACATAGTTATGAGGAGGAAGGATGCCTCTTTGAGATTTGTGAATTTCAGGGCTTCTAGGTTAGGGTTTCTTGTGTTAGGAAGGGATCTAATGTTTATTTAGTGCAAAATGCATAAACTTCTTTGAAAATCTTTTCCTTTGTTCCTGGGTATTCCTGCCTGGCTGTTCCTGCCAATAATCTTACATGTAGTACATACTGTATATATTTTTGTCATCGATAGCTGTTTCCTCAAAAAATGGGTAATTTCCTGGCCCCTGAGACAGAGGTACTTAGGGGGATTTACATAGTCTGAGAGTAATGTAATGCTTTGAAATTACTACTACATGTATGGTATTAATCAACATGATAAACTTTATAAGATTTCTAAAATTCTTAAAGATGTTGCCCTAGAGTCAGTGGTTCCTGTGTGATGGGGTGCACATCTGATAAAGTGGAAATGTATTTTCACTTTGTTACTCTGATCTACATCTGGGTATTAAGTAATCAAAGTAAAGATGATGATTCAGTGTATAATTATGATAAGCAATGGTACATCTTTCAAACTTGTGATTTTCATGGCCTCTGGTTTTAAACATGAATCACATTCAGTTGTTGGAAAGTTGATGCATGATACTCAAGTGACCTATAAGGCCCATGGGCCTCTTGTCTTTTGAATATAAAAAAAACTTGAATAAATGTGCAGGCAAAATTTTCAATTCAAAACAAAACTGTCCTTTAACTATGACGTTTTTCATCATATTATTAGTTTTTAATTTTCAACTGCAATTCAGACCGTCCATCTATAAGATTATAATACTGTTTCAATTGACTTAATTTTGTGACAAATCACCGATTATTTAATTTGAATGTCTAATAATTCAAATATTTCAGGTTTTGCAGTTTTGCAAATTGAAGCATGTCAAGGCATTGTGGTCCCTCCTCATTCTGGATAAATCTAAACGGATGCATTCAAGTGGAAAGGTACCAGATGATCATATTTCTTGTTTTAAATACAAATTTAAAAAAATTCAAAAATATTTAGAAGGAATTCTTCATTAAGTGTAAATTAATTTTAAACACCGATGCAATAAAAAGTAAATGTAATGTTTGTAAATTGTATCGTAGCATTGACAATGAAAAGATAAATACCCAGGTACATGGTGACGATCATATTTTGTACGTGCAATTGCGATTAATTGTCATGAAATTATGAGCCCTTAATGTAGTTGATGTTATGTGATACATGTATATCCAGATTTCAATTCATAATTCGTTTTTACGTCACCTAAGTCACTCGTGTGACCTATAAACATTCATTTTTGTCTGTCATCGCAAGTCGTGCTTTGTTGGTTAACATTTGAACTTTTTCAACTTCTTTTGAACAAATTATCCAATTTCAAGCACTCTTTAAATTAAGCATTTGCAAATGGAGGGGGAAATGTGAAATGGAGGGTCTCTGTCCACTTAGGTTAAGAGAATTAGAACTAAAACCAACTCAATCAATGCACTCTAAAAATACCTTATGATTTGTTTCTTAAAGGTGCATAAACACGGATTTGAAGTTAATATTATAATAGCTGATATAACATTTATCATACTTTCTCGTGAACTGGTTTAATAAAAAGAATATTTTTCTACCAAAAATGTTAAATTGATGACATAATGGTCAGGAGTTCTGCTACTAGGGTAATGCTTTAGAGAAAATTAAGGGAATGTGCATTTTGTCTTTGAAAAGCTTTTCTTTTTGTTTTACAAACCAACAAGGTACATAGTTATGATGAACAAGGATGTCTCCACCAAACTTTTATGTCCTGAGGTTATCATATTTGGATGGAGTATTCATTATTAAGGTTTCATCAAAGGTCAACATGTCCAAAAATTTATTTTTACAATTGCCCCAAAACTATGTAATGTAAAAAGTTAAAACTTTTACAGTATATAAATTATTTACTGATTAACAGATAGAAAGTACCACTTGATAAAAAAAATACTTGGAATAATATTAATTGAGAAAAATTCTTCTTAGAAATGCATATATTTTCAAAAAAATGCACCTTATTAATTCCATGCTTTTAGTGAAAACCATCATTGCAGAAACAAAAGATGTTTATCAATGAAGGGCAAGTTCGACTTGGATAGCCTCTGGAAAGTTGTTTTCCCTGTTTATTTAGTCCAAATGTTAAGACTTGAAAGTGAAAGTACACTGCAAATGGCGGATACTATAGGGGTCTTGTCTTTATACATGGCATGCTTTCAATAACAGCCTTTCAGAGACCTTTCACGTCCAACTTGCCCTTCGATGATAAATTAAACATATATTATTTCTACAATGTTGGTTTTCATAAAAAGGACAGAATTAAGCAGGTGCATTTTTTTAAAATATGCACATTTTCTGATACAATTTTTCACAAAAAAATATCTTTTTAATACTTTCTATCTATTAATCAGTGATTTATTTACAAAATGTTCACGTTTTGACTTCATACCACACATACTTTTGGAGCAATTGTAAAAGATAATTTTTTAGACATGTTGACCTTTGACGAAACCTTAAGTGAAATTGTACTATGATTTTGAAAATCTTATTTTAACTTTCTCTTCCATAGTGATGATGTGCGAGAGTTCTTAATCAAAAATTGAATTTCAAGGGTTTCTTGAAAAAACGGCAGCGCTTTATTAATTATATAGGGAAATGTATGAATACCTAGAAAAAAATTAGTTTGCTCCTAAATAATATTTAAACTAAATTAAACTAACTAAATGCATGCATAAAATTATTTTAAGAAGGATGCTTCTTCCAAAACAATAATTTCACAGACATAGGATCTGGGGTTCTGGTGAAAAATGGGTGTATTGATGAGAATTATTATGTATTATAGAGAACAATACCGTAAAAGTGGATATATTAGCGAGTCGCAAATTTAGCCTTTGATCATTTACATTTGATAGTCTATTTTCAGTGAAAATTTTAGCAGACTTTAAATGCTTACTAAAGAAGCCATTACAATAAAATTAATTTTTGGCAAAAATTAATTTTAGCGATCTTAGCATCCTCGCTTATAATGATAAAATCCAATCCCTGAATTCTGCTTACGGTATAATGTCTTTGAACGTAATTCTTTTCTATTCTCGGTTGAACGTTTTTAAACGTAATTGAATTGCCATGGGGTCGAATCCTGACCTGAGCCTTAAAAGTATTTGGCAACTTTATCTAAGCCACGTTCTTGGTTCTTTGAAGTGACTTGTGAGGTCCCTAAGACTTTAAAACCGCAGCAGATTTTGGCACGATGAAGACCACTTACATGTTCTTGTATTCATGGTTTCGTATCTAACTTTGACGCCCTTTGCCGATATATAATGATGTCTCTATATACGTAAAAAAAATCCCGAATTGGACGTAATACAACATGCAATCAATGTTTTATAATTTTAAAATATTTTCTGCCCATAAATACAATTTAAAACCAAGTAAGCGCATAGTAATGAAAATCAGGAATGCATCTTATGAAATTCTTAAGAACAGTTCTGGAATCTTAAGAAAGTTGGGCGCTTTTGGTTATGTAGTAAAAAGCATATGTCTTTGAACATATTCTTTCTGTTCCTGATTAAAAACAAATGACTAAGTGACTGCATAGGTATGTTTAGCAAGGGTGTTTCTTCTAGAAGGTAGAATTCCAAGGCTTATGAACTTTAAAAATAGGAAGCAACTTTTCCTACGCCAAATCAGATGTTTGGGTGTAATAGAAGGGCTCTATCGATGATATACCGTATAGCCGGTTATTTTGGCGGGGATATAATTTTGGCCTATTTTGGCGATTTCTAAAAATTCACCAAAATAAAAACCGCATTTTTGAATTGTTACGGCAAATCAACGGTAAATAAGTCAACGAATAGTTATAAATAAAGATATATTTATCCATACTGACATTATTTTGATTAAACAAAAATATTTAGTACTATAAGTTTATCTTTTTTAATTTGGATTTCATCACTGCCAAAACTTTTACTCCAATCGACACTCAAGTCTAATGCTTGCTAAACAATGGGTACAAATCATCCGTCATTTAAACGGCACACTCATGACCAATGAAGTTCTTTCAACAATTAAGATAAGGGAAGATAAATAGAAGACAAAACATTTAATTTATCTTTCACATTTTCCATTTAACACACAGAGAATCTCTAAAAGAGTATTCCATACGCACAACTTTTTTTAAAAAAATCATCCAGTGTGAAAGGGAATATTATAAATTAAATGGTTTTTTTTTCAAATAATGGTAAATACGTCCTTTGTAATTTTGTAATTTACTATTATCATTTCAGGATGCTTTCGATGGCTTGAGAGATGGTTTGAAGATAAAAATTGAAGATAGTTCCAGAAAAAAATTTCAGCAATTTTTGAGAAAAATATCCAAAGAAAAGTTGAACTTTTTGCTGCAGCACATAATGGATTTTATTCTGTTTTTTCTAAACAAAGAGGATATGGATGAGATGCAATACAGGTATCTCATTTATTGTTAAATTCAACAAAAACAATTTTTATTCATCTATATAATTGGGTTGTTTACTTAATTTTGGTATAATGCATCACAAATAGTTAATAAATTTCTCATGAAAAAAAACTAGAATCAGTCTTTTTAAATGCAAAACTTTTTCTGGTTAAAGCACAACTTAAAAGACATCTGTTATGGTCCCTGTTCTGGGGTGTCTCTCATTCGGGTGCTGAACTTTATAATAAGAAATCTGTCCAAAATGAGTGATTAACAAGTACGAGGGTCATTCAAAAAATACGTAGACAATATCCTCACTAACAAATGATTTTTACAAAATTTAAGATTTTTTTTACACTTTTTTATGTGCAGAGACATATATTTAAGCGATGTGCAGAGTTTCATTCCATTTCATTAAATGAGACTCATATCAGCCAGTTTTAAAATAACTATGTTTTATCGCAACGGAGCACGGTTAATCATATTGTAACATTAAAAACAACATCGAGAAAATTTTTCAAACTTACGCTCTTCTTATTCCATTTATACACGGCTATAAGTGTCTTCCTCTTTAATTTAAACGTATCCATAACACTTGACACCAAATTTGCTGTCAAGTAGTTGAGTACCTTTAGTTAGATTGTCTTTGTTTTCAATTTTTTACCCGTCCCGTGTTACTATGCTTTTAAAAGTCCCGCGCGCAACAGTAGAGCACACATCACGTTTCATGACGTTACTAACTTTTTTGACGAGATTTTGAGCAATAAACTGTTTCTGTGAAGATCGTCCATCGTCCAAATCAAAGTCTCCATTACTCAACGATTGTATTTTCCATTAAAAAATGCAGGGCTCATTTTATGTATATTTCATGGTTTCTTCCGCATTTTCAGAATTTGTTTTAAAGATTTCTCGAACGCAAAACACATTTCTATTGCTTCTCGCTGCTCCATAGCGTCCTTCGCCGTCATGTTTTTTTTTTTTTTGCTGATTTTAATCAAGTCTTTCTGCCTTTAGAAATTGAAATCTTTTAAACTTATAAGGGTGTTTCATTTCCTTTTAACTTATGAAGTAATAAAACAAAACTAAGTTTAAGTATTTAAATTATATTTCCTTAAAATTGCCATTTATAAGATAAATGGCTATGAACATTTAAAGTGTATAATCATTAAATAACTCAATTTTGACCCTGCTTCGTGACCCCATTTTTGCTGTCTAAAATCTTCAATAATTGTGATAAACATAAAAATATACTCTAATTTTTTAACTCAAAATATTAGAATCTGTTGTTAAAATATGTGTACCAAGTTTGGTTGTAATATGACATTAATAAAAAAAAAGTTATTAAAAAAGTCTTCGAACTTTTTGAATGACCCTCGTACATGTCGTATTGATACTTATATTACACTTTATCAGATAATGTTGATATTGATAAATTAATTAAAATGAATTTTAAGGCAGTAAAATTGTAAAAGCATGGTGTTATTTTTATTGGGAAATCGAAGGGAATTTGAATATTTATAAAACGGGTTAGAGTAAACCATAATCATATCTTGCGAGGTTAATTGTAACCTGATAATTCAGCATAATATGTAGCTTCTAAATATTTCAGTTTGAAAGATGCGGTGATTCAATACATACAAGGAAATGAATATCAAGATTTACCAGAGGACATAAATGACGATCTCGAGGAGATGTCAGATGACATTATAATCAAACATGTGGTTGACGCATGGATAATCATCTTCGATGACCTTCAATCAAGAGAAAAATAAGTTTCTCTCTAGGGGCATCTTTCAACTATAGCAATGATATTCTTATAATATCAACCTTATTATATTTGCATATGCTGAAAATCAGAAACATATTATTTATTATCCACATAGGTTGTTTTTGTATAAAATAATAAGGTTAAGATATAGCATATTTTCTATGCATCAATCTTAATTGCGATATATTTTTTCAAACTATCTGTTGTTTTGTGAAAGATACATAATAAACCAATGGATGAATGTTCAATTGCCAAAAGAATTTAGAATTGAGGAATAGTGTTGTTTGTTTATAAAAGATTTCTATTTGTATTACTGTTGATTTGATATATTTCATGATTTCCTAATGGTTCTGTGTAAGATTACTTTATGAAAACTTCTATTCAAATATGATGGTCCAACGATTAAGAGCGATAGGAATAAAAAGGAACCTTAAAACATGTCTTGGAGATGAAACGGACAGAAACGGTTTTACATTCATAAATCTTATGCTTTAGAGTACAGATACAAAGAAATTTAAGAGATCTCTTCTTCGTAGGCATCAGCAAGTAATTTCGTGTTCCATTGAACAGAAAGATAAAAACCAATCATTAAAGTGTCTGCATGCTTAAAATTGAATTTTTTTGAGCATTTGACTTTTTCTTTAATCTCCTTTATGTTATTTTTTTAAAAATATTCATGTGTATTTTGAAAAAAAAAATATAAACTATTTTGATTTATGTGAGTAATCATACATATTTCTATTTTTACTTTATCATTTAAAAGCTTTACAAGATATGTGTTTATGTATTATGTTTTGGTTTATCATATATTGTGTGTGAGTATACATAATTTTTTCGTCAATGAAAGGAAAGCACCATCACTAGCCTTGCAAATGCAACAAATGTTTGTCACTGATAAATGCAGCTCCTTTCTACATGTGACTTTGTTTAAGCTTCTTGTAAGTGCAAAGTCCACCGAATTTGTAATCAGATGATAATAATAATAAGACATTATTATAAATAGATACAATCGTGATTAAAATCCTGAGTGTTCTGAAAATTCTTATATTTTTTTATTCAGATTAATGGATACTTGTGCTTTATTTTTAAATATTATTGAAGTATAAAAGGAAATATTGTACGTTACATTTGGTATTTGAGGTCACAAAATCTGTCCTTGACAATAAAACAATAAATCTATATATGTAGCACATTCGAATACATTTTGTACCTTGAACATGAATATAGCGTGACGTATCAATATCAATGCATGTTTACAGTTATATTTGGATCAGTATAATGTAAGCCATGAAAGCAACAAGATATTTCAGTAAATCGGTCACTGTTTGTGAAAGTGTATGATTTTTACAGCTTTGCTTATTAACAGAATATAAGTATTGATCATATGTGTAGTGTATAAACGGAAATAATGATATACCGTATAGATGAAAATATTAGCGAGACACATGTCCTAAAAATCCGGGGTTTTTTTAAGTTAAAACAACTAAAACGCAAATAATTAAGCGATATTCAATTTGAGCGATATTAGCATTCTCGCTTATAATTCTAAAATTAATTCCTCGCTAAAAATTTTACTTACAATTATGTAATCAGAATTTTGTTTTTAAAAATTGCACATATTTGCAATCACGATTTATTGAATTTTCATTTTGATATATTTTTTTCATGCGTGTATTAACTGTCATATAATAATTAATGATTTTAAACTATATTTTCATGAAATAAAAAATAGTGTTTATAGTAGAGGATATATGAGTACATTGTATATACCAAGAACTACTGGATGATTTAATTATTTATTTTAAAATATGTATTGTGTATTGTGTACAAACATATTTAAAGTAATTATCAAATGAATGCAGGTGAAATGACTGTTTCTTTTGATTCCCACAATAGGATGATTGCACGCAATATTATTTTTGATCATATGTTCCAAATTATTTTTTATGTAAATGCTTTCAATATTTTTCCGTTTCAAACCAGTGTAGATCGAAGCATGCAGTGCATTGTCTCTTTAATTTCATTCATTTAATATTCGCCTATATTAACAGTGTTATATGAAAAGGAATGCTGGTAATAATATTATAGACGGATTCATCCAATTCTTAAATGATTTTTAAAGGATGGGATTTTGAGGAAAGCACTTAATATCACCTGCTGTAAATGCCTAAATAAGGCCAGATGATACGTTCATAATAACATATTAGGAATTTTCCCCAAACTTTTAATTTGAATGAATGACATTTATGAAAATAAATGTTTATGCTACAAAGATATACAATAAGATATTTGGAAACGTATCGAAAGACATTAAAATGTGAAGTATCGTGTTCTCTTCAGAAGAAGAAGGACCATGAGCTTAGAAGATTGATCACTAACTTTCATTTTCATATTTCTAATATCATGCGCAGATTTGAAAGTAGTTATTTATGTAGTTTTTTTCTTTTTTTGCTTGAGTTTTGGTTTTCCATGTTTACGGGATATTATTCTGTCCATAATCAGACTTTTTAAACGTTGATAAAAATATGTTAATGACATATACATGTATATGATTTACATTTCAGAAAATAAATACTAGTAATTCAAAAGTTCACAAAATTATGTGACCATGTGTCCTTTGTCCGTTTAAAATTTTCAGGGAACAAAATTACAGAAAATTCATAGAAAATGATCGTGTGCAAAAAGGTACTTATATTGAAATATCAAACTGTTTTGATAAGTGTTATCTGAAGATGAAAATCTTCAATTAACGATGAATTTTGATTAATCAAAATTTATTGTAGAAAATGATAAAATCTTACTTGTATCAATTTTTTTATATACATTTTTTTTTCTGTCATCCATTACCTTGTAATTTTCTAGAGATATTTTTATCAATGACACATTGTGAATGTTTTTAATATAAAGAGAAAAGAGTTAGATTTTAATTTGACCGGGAAAATGCTATTTAAAATGTTCAGCTTATGATTTTTGATTTTATGTCACATTAATCACTCTGACATTTTTGTGAAATTCTTATTCTATTGTGTTGCACTAACTGAAAAATAATAACAACTTCCATTAACTAATTCAATATATGTATGGCAATGAGATAGAATTAATTAAATGCTTATTCCTGATCACGTGTTATATATTTTTAAAGATATTTTCTCATCTTTGAGAATGATTTTTCAATAAAAGTGTAAATAAGCATTATATGCATCTATATATCTGTTAAAATGCACATGATAGCAAGTTTCGACTATAACGTTAGTCCATTAGTTTAAGACTAATACATTTACATGTATATTTCAGTGTTAAACTTGAATTCCTTATTACGGCCACGCCCTATTCCCAGAGGTTATGATTTGAACAATTAAGAATTTACACTACCTAAGATGCTTTCATATAAAATTCAGCCTTTCTGACACATTTGCTCGTGAGAAGAGGATTTTTAAAGATTTTTTTTATGTATTTGAATATAAAACTCGGATTCTTTATTGTGGATCCGCCCTACCCCCGGGGGTCATGTTTTGAACAATTTAGAATCTAGACTAGCTCAGTATACCGTGGAGCGGAAAGAGAGAAAGTTTGAGAAATAACACACACTGATGTAGTGCTCTTTCTAAATATCAAATAAAACAATGTTCAATTATAAAGAACTTTATTCGGTAATAACCAATATTTGCCCCCCAAAATCAAACTTTGACGAAGAAATATTTAATTATGTTCTTAAACAGATTTTATTTCATAAGCAATGGCGTCATATGTTTGAAATGACTTCACAAAAATGACGTAAATTTAAAATTTCCATGATTTTTAGAGAAAAATGTATATTTTACTTTGATATTTTGAGTAAAAATCACCGAGCGCAGATTTGATCAGGCTTAATATTTTGATATTATTTGTAGAATGATAATATCAATGAAATATGTAAATATTGTTCCTGAACAAACTTGCGCTCTATAAATTTTAAAGCTAAAATTGTTGAAATTTTGTCAATTTTGTCCTCTTTCTAAAAAAATGACAAAAAATCGAACTAGTTTGTGAGGTCATAAAAACAAAAATTGTCAATGAACTACTTTGAAACTATAATATGATTTGTTAATTTATATTTCTCATACAATTTATAAATTTCAGCACATATCAAGAATTTTTTAAAATTTGACTTTTGTGGGGGCAAAGATATGCAATATACCGCATATAGTTTTTTCCCGCACATCAATTAAAATTCAGCGATGTCTCCAACGATGACTCACATCGCTCCTCATCATTAACACATCTTTCACGGATCGGCCGATGTATAGCCGAGCATCGTCCAATATCCGTTGAATCTGAGGTCATCGGGGGGTTGAGTGGTGTCCAACAGATAACGGCCGATCATCAGTCGATGTTCGACCAAACATTGGCCCGTAGTCAACCGATGTTCGAACGATGTTCACCAATGTATGAGCGATGTAATATACATCGGCCGATTATCCTAGAACATCGTTTTATGATTAGCAATGCTTCGCTGGGCCTTTGAAAGTCCGGCCGGCAACTACGACATTTTTAAAATAAAAGGCATTGGTTGCCCATCGAATACCCATCGCTGGATAATGTGACTGATTCTGTAAGGACTACTAAGCCGATGTGGACCGATGTTAGGGCATCGTTAACACCACGGATTACCAACGATTACCACCGGTCTACGGCTACCGGCCGGGAAATGTGATGTAGGCATTAGAAATGTATGCTGTTGCTGCCGGAGTGTAAAAATTTTTATTTTTGGAAAAGATGACTTATAAAATCATGAAGTGCCTATTTATGCAACGCGGGTCAACGATATTAATTCCGTACGTAATAACTGATGGTTGTCCAGAGCTTTTGATTTTACTCTGGTTGAATTAATTGAAAAAAATATATACCCATGAAATAACAAAATCTAACACATTATTTTTTCTCGTTGTTATTTGTTTTCGCAGGTCGTTGAGTCTGGAAAAGAGTTTTACATTGCGCTACAAAAAAAGTTAGGTATGTTCGCTGCTCCGCCCTTGACGTCAAAATCCATTTTTTCGCAGATTTCTCTACCGCGCTTTATTTTTTTTTATAATCTCCATATTCCT